ATGGCCGCAGGGCCGCTGCGGCTCTTTGTGCGCGATGCGCGGGGGCAGGCCAGGGGGTTTAGGGTTTAGGGTTTAGGGTTTAGGGTTTAGGGTTTAGGGTTTAGGGTTTAGGGTTTAGGGTTTAGGGTTCTTCCGACTCCTCGTGCAGACCCTCTGTCAGGGCTTGGGGTTTCGGCAGGCCCTAAAGTCCTAAATCCTTTCGGTTGTAGTCGAAGCCCCAGGCCATCCCAAAGATTACCTTTCGCTCGCCTGCAAACTACAGGGCCTCCCAAGCAAACCGATGCTTGAAAACCCTAACCCAACCGAAACCCTATACCCTATACCCTAAACCGAAACCCTAAACCCTAAACCCTATAAAACCGAAAGTCTGCCATCCTCGTCAGTGCACATTGACTGCTTGCGGCTTGGGTTTTCGCCTTTCGGGGGTCCCTAGCCCTAAACCCTGAACCCTAAACCCTAAACCCTGAACTCGATACCTACGCCTAAAACCCGAAACGCTAAACCCTAAGCCCTGGCGCGGAGGAGCCAGTGCCACGACTTGTGGCAGCTCTGCCCCGCGGTGGTTTGTCAGTGGGCAGGCGGGTCGGGCTGAGTTAAGGTGGTAGGGTTTAGGGTTAGGGTTTAGGGGTTTAGGGGTTTAGGGGTTTAGGGTTTAGGGTTTAGGGTTTAGGGTTCAGGGTTCAGGGTTCAGGGTTTCTTTGTCATAGTGGGGAAACAGTCTACATGTTTAAGGGTACTTAAACACCACAAGCAATAGAAAGTTGATTGTCAAATGCTATCCCAACCATCAGCTAGGTTTAGGGTTAGGTCAACCCCAACTTCCCACAGACCCTGAACCCTTTACAGTGCCCTAGATTCAGGCATGCATTGTCATGAAGACCCACTAGACTGGCTGATCCTTAAACCCTCAACCCTAACCACTCTTCCCTAAACCCTAAACCCTAAAACCCTTAAACCCTTAAACCCTTAAACCCTTAAACCCTTAAACCCTAAAACCCTAAAACCCTAAAACCTTAAATCCCTAAACCCGAACGGTTTTTTGGTTTTGAAGGGTGTAGGGTTTGGGTTTAGGGTTTCGGGTTTCGGGTGTAGGGTATGGGGTTCAGGGCTTGAGATGCAAATCATGAAAGGCTCGCGGAGCGGCTACGGTCGCTTTTGGGCGAGCAGGCAGGCATCGCAAATATGAGAGTTCAGGGTTTAGGTTTTGCACGGCGTGCTTGCATTGCGGCAAGACCTTGTCAGCGGGGTGGGATATAACGAGCAGTTCAACATCCAGCAGTTCAACATCCTCACGACAATGCTTCATAGACTCATGTCGACGGTCCTCTATAACCCACCCCCCCCCCCCCCCCCCCCCCCCCCCCCCCCCCCCCCCCCCCCCCTCCCCCCTTCCTCCCCCCTTCGAAGCACAATGCTTACCCAGTTGCAAAGACAATGTACTCATCAATTCCCCAAAAATTGGGGTCACTTCCCCTTTCCTACTTTAGGGTTCATTTGGTCCCCAAGGGGATTCAGGTCTCGAAGCGTAAGTTGAGGATACTGAGGGCAGAATCAAAACTGCGCTATAAGCGCTATAAGCTGCGAACCGCTGAATTGGCGGCATCATCAATTTCTCACCTTCTTGCGCAATGTTGCAACTCCTGGTATGATGTGTTACAGGAAAACGTGCAATCATGTCATGCACGTGCGCGGCAGTTGTTGCGGTTGTGTGCCGCCTGGGATTGCGTTGCTCCGTCTGTCGTGTTGAAGTTGGCTTATTTGATCCAGGTAGTTTTTTCTGCTTCAACATGTGGCTGCGCTTTTGGAGCACGTTTGCATGACGGCTTCAATGTCTCGAATCTTAAAGGGTTTCCCGGTAGCACCACATGCCACTTGTGACCAGGTTGTCCACGCATGGCCCCATGCTGATTTACATGTTCGCAGCTTGCTTTGTCCGATGGTATAATGTGATTCTTGCCGTAAGTTGGCCCAAACACTGAAACACAGCAGTCGTTGCGGTTGGCGCACTCCAAAAGCCTGCCCAACTCGCACGCGATCGAAGCACTGGGCTGTTTGGCAGCCGAGGGCTCTGAATTCTGCTCTGGGATTATGGCATGGGGTTTATGGGGTTTATGGGGTTTAAGGGGTTTGTGGGGTTTGTGCCGTTTATGGGGTTTTTTACTGGGTTTATGGGGTTTATAGGGTTTATGGTGTTTGTGGGGGTCTATAGTTTAGGGCTTTTGGGCTTGTAGGGTTTTTTGGGCTTGTAGGGTTTATTGGGTTTATGGGGTTTGTAAGGTTTATAGGGTTCATAGGGTTTGTGTGGTTTATAGGGTGTTGAAGGGTTTGTAGTGTTTATCGGGTTGGTAGAGTTTTTCTAAAGTTTAGGGTTTAGGGTTTAGGGAGTATCCCCAGGTTTTCCCTGCTACTGAGACCCTACAGTCTTGTAGAAAGAGCTCCACTCGCAACCCTGAAAATGCCAAACAGCCCTACCAGCACACAGGTTCTACCAGCCCTAAAACCCCCAACGCTCCCGAAGCCTCGACATTCATGCCCCTTAAATTAAACCATGGGCCCTATAATTAAGCTCTTAGACTAAGTCCTAAAGGCCCTTAAGGCCGAGAGGTCCCCGGAACCGGCCATTAAGCCTTAACAACCGCCTAAACCCTTAAAAATCCTAAAGCCCCTTAAAACCCCCTAGAAGGCCCGTAACTCTAAGACCCTGTCACCCGCAACCATCCACGCCCCAAACCGACAAGAACTCAGGTATGGGCGCAAGGTCCTGTGGAACTTCGACAGCCCCCCCTTTGCCGGCGCAGCGACGCAAGTCTGGGTATGAATGTGTTCCAGGAACACATGCAAGCACCGAGCATGTCGGCTTGTGGTTGCAGTTCCGGGGGCGGCGCGTATGGAGCACGATAGCAAGATGGCTTCGATGTCTCGAGCTCTACGGGTTTTCCGGTAGCACGCCCCTTGGCACCCCAGGGCGAAATCCAGTCCAGGCCCGAATGCCTCCCAACCGTAGTCTTCATGACACGGCGACTTGAATGATATGCAATTGAGCAGGCGCTTCGGCCTCATAAACTTCGGGCTTGGGCTTTAGGACGGTGGCGCGGGTTCTTGCACGACGTGCCACTACGCCCTTTCCACTTTTACCATTGCGATTCGACCGCCGCTCTGACCATTGCGACCGCTTGCTATTGCTGCTGCCGCTCGTAAGATTTCGGGTTTAGGGCTCAAGGATATTCCCTACAAATGCCAGGCAGCCTGCCAAGACCTCCCGACCCTGCACCCTCGACACTCCCTAAGCCCTAGACATTCGCGCCTCCTTAAACCATAGGCCTTACTGAGCCTTTCCGATAACCCTACAAACCCTACACCTTAAACCTAAAACCACTAAACCCTTAAACTTTGAAACCCATGCGACCTCTTAAGCCCTAAGCCCCCTAGATCCTCCAAAAGCCCCCTAAAACCCCTTAAAACCGTCTAAAACACCCAAAGCGCTTCCTGCAGGGATCCCTCCAGTTGGCCCTCGACGGGGAGCCGCTGCATTCGGCAGCCCTAGCACGCTCCGTTGGGGCCACAAGATGGGGGTATAGGGCTTTGGGGTTCAGGGTTTAAGGCTTATGGGTTTAGGGTTTAGGGACCTTTCGGGCTTGAGGTTTAGGGTTGAGGGCTGCAATGTGGCGAAGGTCACCTGTGAGGATCTTCGCCGACCGGCGGTGACATCTGGCATGATGACTCCATCAGGCCTTGCACTATATAAATGCCTGAGCCTGCATGCGCCAGGTGCTGCAGGCTTCTTCAGCTGGAAGTGTCGGGGCGCAGAGCCCGAAACCCTAAAGGCCATACACCAAAAACCCAGGCCAGTAGGCCCACACTCTCAAACACTCTATCTAAGGACTCCATGTCCACGTCCCCTAAATTGTTTAACCCACACCCTAAACCTTCAGTCGTTGTAAGGTGCTCCACGACGGGGCCGTAGTTGACGTTGTTGCAGACTCCGTCCACGGGGCCTTGCACAGTGAGGAGCGGTTCTGCCTCCGGGCTGGGGTTTATATACGGTTTTCTTAGGGCTAGTGTTCAGGGGTTCAGGGGTTTAGGGGTCTAGGGGTCTAGGGGTTTAGGGTTTAGGGTGATAGGGTTTAGGGTTTAGGGCGTTTAGGGGGTTTAGGGCGTTTAGGGTTTATGTTGTAGCGTTTAGGGTTTAGGGTTCAACCCTAAACCCTGTAGACGCCAAACCTCAACTCTAAACTCTACTCGCAAAAAGGAACGTCACGTCAACCCGTGGGACACGCAGCCATGCCTTCCCAACGCAAGAACCCTAAAACCCCAAACCCTAAAGCCTACCTAGACCCTAAACCATGAACCCGAAACCCAAAACCCGGAACCTTAAAACCCTAAACCCTAAGCCCCAAACCCTATGCCTACACCCTCCTTGGAGGTTCAGGGTTCTTATGACCCCAATTAGAACTTTATTTGTACGTCCCCAAGTCCTCTGACTAGGTTCTAAGTAGACCTATCATTGGGTTCTAAGTAACCATAACCCCAAACCCTAGCCCTAAACCCTAAACCCTAAACCCTAAACCCTAAACCCTAATGTTGCACCCGCTTTAGTATCGGCCCCCTCTTTAAAGACAAACTGGCCGAATTATTCAGGACATGCTGACTGTTTGGGAGTCCCTCTTTAAAGACAAATCGTCCGGGCGCCGTAAGAAAATTCCACGTGGCGCGCCTTTAAAAAAGATAACCGGGCATCGCTGCCCCTTTTGAACCTATCTAAACTCCTCCCTATTAAAATCATATGAGCCCCGGGGGCCGTGTAATCAGGCTCCCATCCACGCCTCGACTGTCCAGGGGGGGGGGGGGGGGGGGGGGCCCCCACACTAAAGAGGGTGCAACATTAAACCCTAAACCCTAAAACCCTAAACCTAAACCCTAAACCCTAAACCTAAACCTTAAACCCTAAAAACCCTAACCCTAAAAACCTAAACCCTAAACCCTTAACCCTAAAAACCTAAACCCTAAACCCTAAACCCTACCCTAAAACCTCAACCTAAACCCTAAACCCTAAACCCTGAACCCTGAACCTTACACCCTAAACCCTAAACCCTAACCCTAAACCCTAAACCCTAGCCCTAAACCCTAAAACCCTAAACCCTAAACCCTAAACCCTAAACCCTAAACCCTAAACCCTAAACCCTAAACCCTAAACCCTAAACCCTAAACCCTAAACCCTAAACCCTAAACCCTAAACCCTAACCTTAAACCCTAAACCCTAAAACCTAAACCCTAAACCCTGAACCCTAAAACCCCAACCCTAAACCCTAAACCCTAAACACTAAACCCTGAAACCTAAACCCTGAACCCTAAACCCTAAACCCTGAACCCTGAACCCTGAACCCTAAACCCTAAACCTAAACCCTAAACCCTAGCCCTAAACCCTAAACCATAAACCTCCAAGTAAACCTTGAAGCCCACTCCCAGGAGGCCGTGGAGCCGGCGCAATCCTCGGCGCCTGCTGAGAGGCCGCCCAAGGCAGCTCAGGGTTCGGGGTTTGGGGTTTGGGGTTTAGGGTTTGGGGTTTAGGATTTAGGGTTTAGGGCTAGGGCTTATGGGTTCAGAGGTTCAGCTTTCGGGGGCTTTAGGGGAATCGAGTTGTTTTTTTACAAGGGGCTTAGAGGTGGTTTGGGAGAGTTCGGGGTGTGAGGGTGTCGGGCTCAAGCTTTTCACAGGGTTTAGGGGTTCCCAGGATTTTCGGAGCTAGAAAGTGGTAGGACTTCTAACTTTTTGCAAGCTTTCGATGGGCATCTAGTCTCTAAGTCCTTCAGGCCCAGAGGACAAAGGGTTTAGGGTTCAGGGTTTAGGGTCTTTAGTGCGAGTAACATTAATCAAGTCAAGTTGCCATATACGGATCGGATCTCAAATTATTTTCTACCATCTAGATAGTCAGATAATAAAAAGAGTCAAGCTTTTACAGACCCAGATTTGGCCACGCACCTACTTTAGGCATTGCATTGGCGACGTACTTACTCTGCGTGTAGGGGCATGTAGGCAGAAGGACCCTGTTGCATACCTGCTCTACACCCACCACATTCCTGGGGCTCCAGCCGCCCCAACCCCAAACCCTGATCCCTCCTGGACGTAGTCTGTTCAAGGTTCTTAATTAGGAATCGTTTGTTCGTGTTTTCCTATTTCTCTTGCTGTGCTGAACTATTAAGCAGCTGTTCGTTGTGGTGCTAGGGGAAGGTTATTTTCTTGACAAGGCACCGAAAGTGCAATCATAGTCATAGTTGACTTCGTGGCCCGGTTTCTGGGAGGATCCGCAGACTGAGCAAGCAGACATTATGTAGCAGAAAGGATCGTTTGCCTGGGGTTTATTCGGAATAAGCCATAGGCAATAAGCTCGAATCCCTTTATTTATAGTCCCTATTAATTCCTAGCAATTTATTTTTCGTAGGGCTAGTGACCCCGATCAGTCTAGTACTAGGACCCTGAGTTGTCGTAGGCGTGTGCTCCCCGCTTTGGTCAGGACGGTTCGGGTCCCGCATGAGCCCATAAACAACCCTAAACCCTAAACCCTAAATCCTAAACCCACGGTTCGTGTGGGACCCAAGTTAAGTTTCGCGTTTCGCCGGCCGTGACTTCAGAACTTCTTCAGGCTACAAGTTCCAAGTAGTGCATCGTGAGTTCGCCTCGGGAACCCTTCAATTCAACCTCAAACCTTACACCCCAAACCTTACGCCCTAAACCCTACACCCTGATTGAACCCTAAACCCTCAACCCCAAGCCGTAAATCCCCAACCCCCAGCCCTGGGCCCTGCACACAGCAACCCCCCGCCACCCCCCCTAGCCATCGGGAGCCCCTTTGAGCCACCCAGGCTGCGGCGAGCGCCCCAGCACGCCGGGCGCGCCTCGATTTCCTGAGCCCCGGTAGTCATGATTCAGCAATATTCCTTAAACCATGGAGGGCTCCTTATTGGGCTCATTGGGTAGGGTTTGAGGGTTTAGGGTTTAAGGCTTTAGGGTTTAAGGCTTGGTTCTTGAACCTTTGACAATTGCCAAACCGAGCTGCTTTAGCATCATTACTCATCACTAAACCAAACCCATTACACCTGCGGCGTCAAGGACGCCCGCATTGCGGCAGCAGCTCTTTGAGCCACCACCACCACGACCGCCTCCGGCCGCCGAGGCGAAGGCACAGTGCGCGCGAGGGTTTAGGGTTAGGGTTTAGGGTTTTGAGGTTCAGGGTTTAGGGTTTAGGGTGTAGGGAAGAACACCCAAGCGACTAGGGCAGGATCCTTTCTGGGGGGGGTTCGGAAATTGGGGGGGTAGCTTATTGGGGTCCTTATTATAAGGGGATCCTACCGTTTGAGGGGCTATATTAGGGGGTCCCCTATTTTCTCGCGTAAACCCCTTTTATGGCTCATCCCATCCTGACCAGGGAGTGCAAGTCTCAGATGTTCGGAAAGTTGCTATGACACTTCTGTAGGGCCTTCTTGAGACAGCCGAGTACCTGAATAACATAGTTAGGGTTTAGGGTTTAGGGTTTAGGGGTTTCCGAAATTAGGGGTACCCTCTTTGGGGTGTTCCTAGGACAAGGATTATAGTATTTGGGCTGTATTCGAGGTACCCCGATTTTTGGGAAGTGCCCATATGGGGATCTAGCGTAAGTTCTTGCTGTAAACTCTGAACCCCAAGCCCAAGATTCACTAGGGGGGTGTGGCCGATAGTAGTGGGACGGGAATAAACAGGAATCCAAGCGCGAGCTGAAAGCCAACTTCCTCCGCTTCGCATCTGCTGCTCTTGCAACAGAAGGAAACGGGGTTTAGGGTATGCCTTTATGAATACCGAGTGGGCCCAAGTGTACTTACACATATCTCCTTCTTGTGTTTACGAGGATCTTAATTATGTCTCATGGGCCAAGCTATTTAAGCCCCTCCTAAACCCTAAAGCCCAACCCCTATAGAGTCTCTAAACCCTGACCCAAAACCCGAAATCTTGTTTACGGGGCCAGCCTGGGAGTTTTACAACACAGTCTAGGCGCATTTCAGGTGGGGAGACTCCCCGCCCATCTAGCCCTCATAGAAGCCTCAAAGAACCTAGGGCGTATGGTTTAGTTTCAAATTTGTGTTGAGGGTTTAGAACCCTTATAGAACCCTTCGCGCCCTCATGTACCCCTTATATAGAAGCCTTACTTAAGGATGTTCCCCCCTATAGTAACAGTCCTTAATAGGGATTTGAATAGGAGGTACTATAATCCCTCTTAAGGACTGTTAGTATAAGGGGGAACATCCCAAGCCTTACAAAAGGTGGCCAGGGAACGAAACCCTAAACCCTAAACCCTAAACCCTAAACCCTAAACCCTAAACCCTAAACCCTAAACCCTAAACCCTACACCTTAACGCAAGCTCCAGGCCCCAGAATTGCTGGAGCCAAGCCGGTTGGAGGAGGAGCCCCGTGAAAAGGTTGGCCGCGGCCCCATTCCATGCGTTTTTTTTAAGATTTTTTGTCTTAAACCCTGAACCCTAAACCCTAAACCCTAAACCCTAAGCTGGAACTTGACCCGAGGCCTCCGCCTTGTCCCAGACCGCGCGCCCGCGGAGCTTCGCTGGCGCCCGGCCGTGGTGGACGAAGTGCGAAGGCTCCCCCCCGACAGAGATGTGGAGGGTTTAGGGTTTAGGGTTTAGGGTTTCGGGTTTAGGGTGCAGGGTTTTGGGTTTTAGGGTTTAGGGTTTAGGGCGACAATAAGGGACTCCTAAGATAGACACCCAAATAGTAGGACTCCTTATAAGAAGGACCCCGGTAAGGTACCCCTAGAAACGAAAACCCCCAAATAGGGCTAGACATCCTGGCAAACCAACAATGACAGTAAGAACTGATGGCCTCATAAAACCCTAAACCCTGTGGCAAGAACGCATGTCATGGTTGATGTTTAAATTTCCTGGTGTGCAGCTGAGGGTCTCAGGCCCCTAAACCCTAAACCCTAAACCCTAAACCCTAAACCCTAAACCCTAAACCCTAAACCCTAAACCCCTAACCCCTAACCCCTAAACCCTAGTCCTTTATCCCTCAACCCTGAACCGTTTAGGATCCCTTCGGGTTTTCGGGTTTAAGGCTTAGAGTGTGGCCTTGAGCCTAGGATTTCGTTGAGCATGCTGCCTGGCGCCAGGCAAAGACACACACCCTCCCTGTTCTGACACGCCCTCTGGTGCTGCCTCCACACCCAGCACAATATGATCCCCCATAGAACCCTAACCTGGGCAAAATGCCCAGTCTAATGAAAAAATACCTACACCCTAGACGGCAAATCTTAACCCCCCCCAACCCCACAAAAAAAAAAAAACTAAACCTCGAACCTCAAACCTGAAGCGTCATCTACTCAAGAAGCTCCAAAGCCCCAAACCCTGCAGGCCACATTAACGGGCTTTGGGCTTCTGGCTCCGGATTGTTTAGGCTTTAGGGTTTGGGGTGTAGGGGAAGCCACCACACCGAATATGAAGTCAGCTCAGCGCATTTGTGTACTTTGATGAAGACCTGCAACGCCAACCCTAAACCCTAAGCCCTAAACCCTAAACCCTAAACCTATAATTTCAGGATTAGGAACATCAAGCCGCCGTGGTGCCCCAGGAGCTTCGCCGCACACCTTCCCCAGGCCGCGAATGCACCTGGATTTAGGGTTTAGAATTGAGGGTTTAGGATTTAGGGTTTAGGGTTTAGGGTTTAGGGCGCTAAACCCTAAACCCCTACATGGCTTAAGGGTTAAGGGTTTGGGGGATGCTGGGGCCCAAGCATGGAGGACTCCCAAGGTTTCGGGCTTAAAGGGTTTAGAGTTTAGAGTTTAGGGTTTAGGGTTTAGGGCTTAAAGGGTTTAGGGCTTAGGGTCTAGGGTTTAGGGCTACACCTCGCAAAGGTGCGGAGCGTTCCCAGATTTTCCTGTGTGTGGCCAGTGACTCCAACATTATTTAGGGGTCTAGATCGTAGGGGGTTTTGTGGTTTTGAGTTTTAAGACCCTAAACCCTAAACCCCGAAACCCCTAAACCCTAAACCCTAAACCCTAAACCCTAAACCCTAAACCCTAAACCCTAAACCCTAAACCCTAAACCCTAAACCCTAAACCCTAAACCCTAAACCCTAAACCCTAAACCCTAAACCCTAAACCCTAAACCCTTAAACCCTAAACCCTAAACCCTAAACCCTAAACCCTAAACCCTAAACCCTAAACCCTAAACCCTAAACCCTAAACCCTAAGTTCGCAGGCCTTGGGCCCAAAAGATGCGGATCGCTTCCTCGCTGCAGCGGTGCGCGAGGTGGACTGGCAGCAGCCGGAAGGCTCCCTGGCGATGTGTGGTAGTAGGGTTTAGGGTTTAGGGTTTAGGGTTTAGGGGTTTAGGGGTTTAGGGTTTAGGGTTTATAGGGTTTAGCGTTGGAACCTCCTCATCCCCCAAAGGATATGCTTTAAAGGGAATCCCAGGTCGAATCATCCTTAAACCATGTTCTAACTTTCTGGAGTTTACTGTAGGAGGGTGTAGGGCGTTAGGATATGCAGGGGTATGTTAGGTATGCAGGGTGTGAGGGTATATAGGATGTAGGGTTCAGAGCGTCAGGCGGGGCCTCCGGAGAATAGACTTGCAAGCAGCAGAAGCTATGGATGTGTCGACTGTCGGCGAGAATCTGGAGGTTCGTGGTGGCTTGGCCCGGGCTCCTGATGATGCTGTTGTGTCGCAGGCAACACGCGTGCTCTTCCCGATGAACACCGTCGCATCACAGGATGGGCTGTGCTGGCGTGCTGCGGCTGACTGGGTAATCCACCGTCCACATGCGATTTCTCCACGTTGTGGTTTGTCTGTGCAAAGCGCTGAGTTGACCGTGCTTCGAGAACTCTTGTGTAGAGACGACGAATTCGACTTGCAACCGCTGTAGGAGCGTCAGGTGGTATTGCTTACGTTGTGTGGACGTAAGGTATGGGGTGATTAAGGTACAGTAGGTAGCGGACGTTGGGTGTGTGGGGTATGTATGGTATCAGCGGTGCATAGGGTATAGGGCGAAGGGTTCTCTTCATTCAGGATATCATTGGCGATGTTCGTTTAGGTTTTGACCGCTCGTCACAAGCCCACCTTCCATATTCTTGAAGCCCAGATCGGGTTAAGTTTGGGGCCTAAACCCTATATAAATCCCGGAACTAAATCCTAGCACCCAAAATCCTAAAACCCAAAGTCCTAAAACCCTAATTCCTAAACCCTGAATCCTAAAACCCTAAGTCCCAAAATCCTAAATCCTAAAACCCAAACTCCCAAAACCCTAAATCCTCAAACCCTAAACCCTAAGTCCTGCAAGGCTTTTCTACATTGCCCCTTGTCTCTAAGGACCCTTACAGGGTTCTGAAGTATGGGCCTTCGGATTTTGTAGGGTATTTAAGATCAGGTACATAAGGGGTATATACGGGCTCCCCCATTAAGGGCCACATATTAAGGGACCCTGAAACAACCCTAAACCCTAAACCCCATTGACCTTTTGCCCCATATGAGACCTGAACCCCAAACCCCGCATATGTATATAAAGCTATATGAAATCTCTCTTAAAAATTCAATAGAGAATTCATAGAAGCCTATAAAGAAGCCCGGAAATTCCCTAAATCCCGCCTCCTTCAGGCCGATGGGGCCCCATTCCCCGCAAGACCGCTTGGCTCACGGCTGGTGGCTGCCGCTGCCGCCCCCCGGACCAACACAGGGTTTAGGGTTTAGGGTGTAGGGTTTTGGGGTTTAGGGTCTAGGGGGTAGGGATGAGAGGGGATTTGCCAGCCACTTTCCGGGTTAGTTGCGGGAGGTTGCTTAGTTCGGGATAGGATCCGAAGACACTTAGAGTTAGAGATATTCAGTTCAGGGGTTTTCGCTAGGATTCCAGAACCCCACTACGACCACACCCCTCTTTACTCGAAGTTTCCTGCAGAACCGCTGTGCTGGGCATCACTTGGGATGTTCCCCCTTATACTAACAGTCCTTAATAAGGATTATGTTTAGGGTTTAGGGTTTAGTGTTCAGGGTTTAGGATTATAGTACCCCCTGTTTTCATCCCTATTAAGAGCATGTCATTGAACACATGGGCACCCAAGGTTATGGCTATGGTGGCTTGAGGATAGGGCGCGAGGCCCAGCTGCCTTCGAAGCTCTTGCTTCAGGTTGCCAGACACTCCTGAGACCACGTTTATGAAGGAACCTTCCATGTTGCCTAAATTGCAATAGGGGCTCTGACCCGTCCCTAAACCCGAAGCCTTAAACCCTAAACCCTGATTTAGGGAAGATTCCTTGATTCATTCCTTAAATTGCAATAGGGCCTATGCATTGGGGGCTCGAGGACCGGAAACAGTTTAGGTTACCATGACACGAGCTCCATAGGGCTTTAGCGATCTTCAAAAGTCTATTGGGCTTGCGGAGATAAATTGAGTTAGCAGAATATGGATATAATGCAGTACTTTTGGAAGCCTTGTACTTTGCTGCTATGAGGGTCATCTGCCGCGCGCAATGACCCCATGCCCAAAACGTTTGAACCCTAAAGCCTACCTTTATAGGCTCGCATAGGGGTAATACAGAGGACCCACTAGGATGTGGATTAAGGATGAAACCATGTCTCATAGCAAGTTTAAGGCATTTGCTGTTATTTGGCAACACCTACTCCTTGAACCAGCAACCTGTACACGTCTGCTGTTTAGGGTTTAGGGTATACGGTTTTTGGTTTAGGGATCCACATAGCTTAAGGGAATAATCTCTTCATGTCCTGCTGGGCCCAGGTCCGAGCCCTTCCCGGCATGGCTCAAGGAGGTCACAGCTCTCTGCATGCCCCTCTGCGGCCTCCCCGACGAGAAGGCCAGGTCCAGAGGCGAACCTCTGGACATTTTTTTTGCATGCCGGGCTTCAAGACATCCCTACCCCTAAACCCCTAAACCCTACGTACCGAAATCCTGTTTAGTCAGAATGGGTCGAGAAGTTTAGATTGTACTTATCTCGAGAGAATTGAGGGCTAATCTTGTTGGTAATTCTGGCTCTGGCAGCCCTGTAGCCCTAAACCCCATACCCTCAACCCCAAATCCTGTGCCCCTCCCCACATGCGGCTTTGGGGCTTGCGGTTTTAGGGCGGAGGGGTGGGTTTAGGGTTTAGGGTTTAGGTTCGGGTTTAGGGTTTAGGGTTAGGGTCTAGGGTTTGGCGGCTCATGACCTTACTTCTTTCCTAAATACTTGATCGGGTTTTGGGCTCAGGTTGAAGGACGGAACTCCGAGGAAGATCGCTTCATCTGCAATAAGGACCCTACTATATGGGAGCTTACGAAAATACGGGATGCCTATAATAGAGCCCCAAGTAGTAGGATTTCCGGATAATATGGGCCCGAAAAAGGTACCATATGGTTCCAGATCTATTCTTTCCTAACCCCTAGAAGCCTTCAACCCTCAACCCCAAACCCTCCACCCTCAATAGGGTCTAGGGTTTAGGCTTAGGGTTTAGGGTTTAGGGCTTCGGATGTGGAAGGTACTGTGAGGGACACGCCGAATGGGGCCCTAACAAATGAACCCCACATCGACGACTTAACTTGAACCCTGAAGTTAAACCCCTCCCTCCACCTCCAAAAACCCGAAATCCAAACCCTCAACATCAAAGCAGAGACAGTCTCGAAGGACTGGCCCGACAGCTGCAACTTGAGTCTGGGCTGCTCTGGAATTGGGTTTAGGGGTTAGGGTTTAGGGTTTAGGGTTTAGGGTTAGGTGTTAGGGTTTAGGGTTTAGGGTTTGGGGTAGTTTAGGGTTTAGGGTTTAGGGTTGCAGGTATAGGGTTGCGGGTTTAAAACTGAGGGTGAATGGATGGCATGGTCCCTTTCCTTCTTTAAAGAGTTCTGAAGTATGGGCCCTTGGGTTTTGCAGGGTATGTCAGGGTTTCCAATAAAGGGCCGCTAATAAGGGATTAAGATGGAATGCTCATCTCAAGTGGTTGCATGGTTTTGGGGTTTACGGGCTTTAGGATTTTTAAAAACAGGGGTCCAGCGGGTTTGGGTTTAGGGCTCAAGGGGTTTTAGGCCTAAAAGGTTTTTGGCAAAGTTCACGTGGGTTCCTGTGGAAGGGGCCATTAAAATATTACTGAATGTGTGACGTATTATGTTTTCGGGGCATTAAGGCTATTTTTAGGGCAAGAGAGTTTAGGGCTTATAGTCTACTTACAAGGGGGCACAAAGCCCTTAAAGGGTGCTCTTAACAGCAATTGGTCAGTTCTCCAAAATTAGAGTCCCTTTTTGGGTACCCTAAATAAGAGGGCCCGCCTTATCATGAGGACCCCACAAAGGGACCATGTTGTAGAGACGCAACCAATCGAGGAACCTCTATGAGGATGGCGACCACTCGGTCGGCTGGCACGCTGATGACGAGTTCCTCTTCCAAGGTTGGGGCTGGGGTTTAGGGCTTTGGGTTTAGGGTTGGCTAATAAATAGGTAAAGGCACAATAAAAACAAACATGTATATGTATACATTTATCTTGGGGATTCCTGTAGGACTTCCAAAGACTAGACCTGAGATTCGGAACAAGGAGCCCTTTCCGGGTTTAAGGCACAATCCTTTGCTCAACTGTAAGGACCCGAAACATCTTGAAAACCCTACAAACTCTCCAAAAAACCTAAATGCCACAAACCCCAGACAACCCCAAAAGCCCTACCCTCCCCCCACCCCCCCACCCCCCCCCCCCCCCCCCCCCAAAAAAAAAAAAAAAAAAAAACAAGAAGAAGCTAGAATCGCTTAAAAACCCAAGCAACCCTAATCCCTAAACCCTAAAAATCTCTTAAACACATATGTTGGGATGTTTGCGGTATCTTCATTTGCTCGTGAGTCGCTGTGCTCTGTGGGCCTTAGGGCTTCAGGGGTTTAGGATTTAGGGTTTAGGATTTAGACCCCCCACCCCCCCGCCCCCCCTCTCCCCCCCTAAAGCCCTAGGAGGGTTTTCAGGGGGGATTGTAGGGTTCAGGTGCGTCGACGTAGGGTAGAGTAGGGTTTGGGGCAGGCGGGGGCATTGCCTTGGAGGTTTAGTTTAGGGTTCAGGGCCCGAAGAGCAGATCGAAGTGTCAGGCAAGTTTACCGACTGCCTCATCATCTCCCTGCATCTTGGCACCCTAAACCCTAAACCCTAAACCCTAAATCCTTGGCACTGCTTGTCCGGTCTTGGTGTAATCACGTGAGGTGGGCGTGGGGAGTGCGGGCCGTACTCCCATTTACCTTCTGGTGCTGAGCAGGTAACCTTCGAACCTTTCTTGAAGACTCTACATAGCCTGAAGCCCTAAACCTTAAACCCGAAGCCCGAAAAGAAGCAGGACTTCCTTCCTGCTTTTGGTGGGTGCATACAGGGTTCCTTGTAAATATTTGGAGAGCTCATGTATTGGGCGTCCTTTTGGGGATACTAGCAAACCCTAAACCCGGAACCCGAAACCCTAAACCTTAAACCCTAAACCCTAAGCCCGAAACCCTAAGCTCGAAACCGTAAACCCTAAACCCGAAGTCCAAGGTCCTTGGGCGCGACCCGGTGGTTCGAGCTCAAGGCCCATAGAGGGTTCGAACCGGCAGTCCTTTGTTGCACAACTCCTGTTAAGGGTAAGGGGGCTTAAGGCAGTTGCAGGGGATTAGGGGGTTTAATAGGGTTTAAGAGGGTTTAAGGGGGCTTAAGGGGGCTTAAGTAAAATTCTAAATGCTTGAAAAGGGGTTCTAGGATACCTGACGCAAAACCCTGTTGTTTGCTAAATGTTACATTATCATGGGCCTCGCAAGCCACTTACCCAAAGCCTCTCAAAACCCCCCTGAAAGCAATCCCTTCTTGCCCCAAACCCCCCCTGAAGCTCCAGTAAACTAACCCCTCAGCCCAAAACCCCAAGTCCTAAAAACCCCAAAACCCCAAAACCCCCAAAGCCCCAAAGCCCCAAACCGGCAAAGCCCCAAAACCCCAAAACCCCAAACCCTAAACCGTAAACCCTAGCCCTAAACCCCAAACCCTAAACCCCTAAACCCTGAACACTAAAACCCGAAAGACCCCTCGTAGTAACCCTAAACCCTAAACCCTAAACCCTAAGAACCCTCCGAAGACTGCCGCGGAGCCCTTCGAGATGCACCGTCTGCTGCTGCGGTCAGGCCCGCATCTCTCCAATTCCGATGTGGTTTAGGGTTTGCGGTTTAGGGTCTGGGGGTTTGGGGTTTGAGGTTTAGGGTCTGGGGGGTTCAGGGTTTAGGGTTTACGGTTCAGGGTTTCGGGTTCAGGGTTTAGGGTTGAGGGTTGGGGTTTAGGGTTTGAGGTTTAGGGTCTGCGGGGTTTAGGGTTGAGGGTTTAAGGTTTAGGGTTCAGGGTTTAGGGTTTAAGGTTGGGGGTTTAGGGTTTGAGGTTTAGGGTCTGGGGGGTTCAGGGTTTAGGGTTTGGGGTTTGAGGGTTTAGGGGCTTAGGTCTTTAGGGTTTAGGGTGTGGGGTTTAGTGTGCAGGGTTTAGAGTTTGGGGTTTGGGGTTCGCCCCCGGCCCCGAGGGCGGGGAGCTGAAGGTTCCTAACCCCAAACCCCAAACCCTAAACCCCTAAACCCTAAAGCCCAAACCCTAAACCCTAAACACCTAAACCCCTAAACCCTAAACCCCCCAGACCCTAAACCCCAAACCCTATAAACCCTAAGCACCTAAACCCTAAACCCTTAACCCCTCAGCCCTTCTTTCCTGGGCTGGGCTTCCGCCGGCTTCCGCCGGCTTCCCTGAAGACTTCGCAGATCTGAACTGCAAAGCCCAAGCTGCAACGAAAACTCCGCAACCGATACGTTTTTGTTTAGGGTTTAGGGTTTAGGGCTAGGACCCGGAGTAGGCCCTTATTTCCTTTTTTAGGGTTTAGGGGTTCCCTTATACTCCCCTTAAAACCAAAAAGGGCGCCCTTTCTATTCCTAGGTTACTCCTGGGTCTAGCAACTTTGCTACTTGTAGAACCTCAGAGCTTACTTGGAGGTGAATGGGTAGTTATAAATACGGTTATACGTACTCAGTATGCCCTCTCTAAGCCTTGAAGGATTGAAATATAGGTATCCCCTAAACCCGAAACTTCGCCAACTTTCCCCAAGTTTCCTGGTAAGATTCCCCTAAGCCCTAGACCCTAAACCCCAAACCCGAAACCCTAAACCCTAAACCCTAAACCCTAAACCCTAAACCCTAAACCCTAAACCCTAAACCCTAAACCCTAACCCGCAAATAGAGCACGCAAAGGCGACCTCTGCACCATGGAGGGCCTGATGCAGAAGCACTACCTCCACCGCGTACCCAAGGACAGGTTTCGGGGTTTTGGGTTTCGGGTGTTGGGCTTGGGTTCAGGGTTTAGGGTTTAGGGTTTAGGGTTTAGGGTTTAGGGTTTAGGGTTTAGGGTTTAGGGTTTAGGGTTTAGGGTTTAGGGTTTAGGATTTATAGGGGGCATGGTTTGGGCTTAGGGCCCACCAGCTTGCTGGTTTTTTGTTTGTTTGAAGCTTTGGTGGTTTTATGGCATTTCAGGGTTTTAGGGCCTGTGCATCTTCAGGCTTTCAGGGTTTGGGGTTTTAGGCCTCTAGGGTCTTGAGTAGGCTCTTGATGGTCTTCGGGGTCTTTTGGCGTTTTGGGTTTAAGGTCTTTAGGGCTTGGGGTTATCGGTGTAGGGCTTTGCTGGGTTTGGGGGTTTCGGCTCAGGGTGTCTTTAGCTTTAGGGTTTAGGGCCGCAGGGTCTTTGGGATCTTTGAGGTCCTTAGGGTTTCGCTTTTTTTTCGTGGTTTGAGGTTTAGGTTTCGTTGTTCGCGGTCGCAGGGAGTGGGATCTGGAGCCATCCCGCAGAGCAGCAAAGCGAGGTGCATCAGGTCACCATGCAGGATTTAGGGTTTAGGGTTTGGGGTTTAGGGTTTAGGGTTTAGCAAAGCCTTTTCCCAACCACCTCAGCATTGCATCAACAGGAGCGCCACTACTGCGAGCCGCGCGTCAACTTGACCTGGCGCCTTGATGTCACGTAGCCCTAATACTAAGGCTCTGCTTGGTCATGGGACTTATCAACCAATTCACGCTGCACTTAAGCCCCTTAAGTGCCCTGATGTGGGTATAAGTACAGTTATAAGTACAGTTATATTGGTTAATAAGTACCATAAACCTCCAAGCGTAGTTCCCTTCTGAGTTCTTCTTTTTCTCGAACACGTGGGGACTTGGGGGAGTTTAGGGCTGAGAAGGAAGGTAGGAAGCTGCTCAAGTAGGCAGTGTGTTCAGGTACACTTGGGGTTGCTACTGGACAAAACGGCCACGCGCGATTCTGCTTCTGCTGGTAGGTCTCAAAAAACTAGAGAGTCAGGTCACTCTTCCGTGAACGGTGATTGAATCGCTGTTTGACTTTTGGTTTAGGGTTTAGAGTTTAGGGTTTAGGGTTTAGGGTTTAGTGTTTGTCGATCTTTCAAAATGATGTCCGGCTCTGTTCACCGCCCGCCACGGTTCGGGGGGGGGGGGGTGCTGTTTGCGATCATTGGAACCATGTGGTGTTCCTCACTCCCGTTTTTTGGAGCTGCGGCTATGTGCATGATAAGTAACAAGAGCGCAGCTTAAAGCTTCAAGTGTTACAGAGACTTGAGACATCTCCCGCACATCTTTTCCCCGGTTTGGTGTTCCATACCTTACTCGTGGAGTTTCAGGTCCCCTATGGAATCCCTTCAATGGGATACAGGGTACCGAATACGAAGAACCAGTCAGTAAGTTGCAGGACGCATAGTGCGGTTTCTGCTTAGCCGAAACCCTGAGGACCCCAAAAAGTAAAGCCCTAAACCGAAAGCCCCAAACCCTAAAACATCCTTCAACCACCTAACAAATTTGTGTTGTGTTTGCAGAGTACGCTTTCTCGGCCGTGCATGTTGCTGTGTGGCAGAAAGCGCTGTATATAAATTCCAGCATGAAGGCAGGAATGCCTATAAGAGCACTAATAGAGAAACAAATAAGAACAATAATCGTCATAATAAGAATCATAATAGCGATAAAGTAAAAAGAAAAGAAGATACATACAAAGCACATAAACATAATGACAGAGCTCGCTCCCAAATCCCCCTCACGGCCTCTTCGAGCCACCTCCGGATAGCCGTTGAAGGGCTTTGTTTAGGGTCTATAGGGATCAGGGTTTAGGGTTCAGCGTTTAGGGTTAGAGTTTTGGATCTCTGAGATTCAACAACTCTCGAACCCTAAACCTTAAACCCTAAACCCTAAAACCCTAAACCCCTAGACCCTAAACCCCTAACCACCCCAACGACCGGCTCCCCCCCAGGCGCTGGATCGCCAGCCACGAGCCGCGCTGCGGCCTGCAGCCCACGGTGGACATGAGGCGCGGCGGAGCACGATGTAGGGGTTTAGGGTTTAGGGTTTAGGGTTTAGGGTTTAGGGTTTTGGGTTTTAGGGTTTGGGGTTTAGGGTTTAGGGTTTAGGGTTTAAGGTTTAGGGTTTAGGGTTTAGGGTTTAGGGCTTAGGTTTCGAGATATTCACTACTGGGTCACCTTAAGGAGCACCCCCAAGGAGCCCTTAAAGACCCCTAGAGTAAGGTTAGGGGTTTGGGGTTCAGGGTTATGGGTTCAAGGGTTAAGGGTTTAGGGCTTAGGGTTTAGGGTTTGGGGTTTAGGGTTAGGGTTCAAGGGTTAAGGGTTCTGGGAGGGTTTAGGGATAACTACTAATTAAGGCCCCTATAGTATGCAAGGAGCCCCAAAGACCCCTTAGTGAAGGTTAGGGGTTGGGGTCTAGGGTTTGGAGCCTAGGGCTTAGGGCGTAGGGCTTAGGGCTTAGGGTTTAGGGTGTAGGGTTTAGGGTTTAGGGCTTAGGGCTTAGGGCTTAGGGTTTAGGGTTTAGGGTTTATTCACGGGGACTGACCGGGGGCAGCAAACAGGAAGCGGCACCCGGCCGGTGACGCGGGAGATCAAGGCCCTCGTGCGAAGCGGCCAAAGAGACCTGGCTTCCTTTTCAAAGGGTTTAGGATTGGGATGCTCCCCCTTCTACTAGTAACAGTTCTTGGTAGGGATTCTAGTACCCCCTACTACAATCCCCCTTGAGGACAGTTAGTATGAGGGGGAGCATACCAAGGGTTTAGGGTTTAGGGTTCAGGAACAACTTGGAGGCCCAATAGGTAGTTCACCCTTCCTTTGCTTTGTAGGGGCACCTGAAAAAAACCCTAAACCAGGGCTTTGGGTTTAGGCACATGGCCCAAGTCTGGTTGCAGCGTCGCTCATGAGAGTCGCAAGGGCTTGCCAGCCCTGAGTTCATCTGTAGGCTGGCATGGTGTCTCTTGGCACACCATGTTTGCACAGCAGCTTGATTGCTTGATAGATGCAGGGCATATGTTTGCGTGCGTGCGGGTGCTCGGATCTTCTCTCTCTCTGCCAAGACGTAGAGAGATGCTGTGTCTGCACTCTCTGACTTAGGTGGCAATGGAAAACGATCACTGAACACTGCAAACTCTAAACCCTATAACCTTATAACACTGTAACCCTATAAAACCTATAAGACATATAAACCCTATGACCCCTATAAACCTTAAACCCTATAAACCCTAAACCCTATAAACCCTGTAAACCCGAAACCCTATAAGCCCTATGAACCCTAAACCCTATAAACCCTATAAACCCAATAAACCCTGTAAACCCTATAAACCCTATAAACCCTATAAACCCTATAAACCCCATAAACCCTATAAACCCTATAAACCCTATAAACCCTATAAACCCTACAAACCCTATAAACCCTATAAACCCTATAAACCCTAAACCCTATAAACGCTATAAACCCTAAACCCTATAAACCCTGAACCCTAAACCCTAAACCCTAAACCCTAAACCGCTCTGCAAAGGACTGAGGCGCCGCAAGCCGCGGCGCCCCGCCGCAAACGCCCCTCACGGCCTGTGGAGATGGAACGGGACAAGGCGGTTTAGGGTTTAGGGTTTAGGGTTGGGTTCGGCCGGTCCACACTAACAGTCACCACCAGCAGACCCACAAATAAAAGCACCCGGTAAATGCCAAAAAATTGACTGAGATTCCTGCTATTCCTGGTGCTATTCCTGGTGCTATTTCTGGTGCTATTTCTGGTGCTATTTCTGGTGCATTTTTTTGTGCTATTCCTGGTGCTATTTCTGGTGCTATTTTTTGTGCTATTGTTTGTGCTATTTCTGGTGCTATTTTTTGTGCTATTGTTTGTGCTATTTCTGGTGCTATTTCTGGTGCTGTTGCTGGTGCTATGTGACTAACAATCACCATCAGCAGACCCACAAAAAACAGCACCCGGTAAATGCTAAGCTGCTAAAATTGACTGGGATTCCTGGTGCTATTTCTGGTGCTATTGTTTGTGCTATTTCTGGTGCTATTTTTGTGCTATTCCTGGCGCTATTTCTGGTGCTATTTTTTGTGCTATTGTTTGTGCTATTTCTGGTGCTATTTCTGCTGCTATGTGACTAACAGTCACCACCAGCAGACCCACAAAAAGAAGCACCCGGTAAATGCTAAAATTGACTGGGATTCCTGGTGCTATTTTTGGCCTGTGTGTTATAAGGCCACGGCGTTATTTGACTGTTAGTGTGGACCGGCCGAACCCAAGTTTAGGGGTTTAGGGGTTTAGGGGTTTAGGGGTTTAGGGGTTTAGGGGTTTAGGGGTTTAGGGGTTTAGGGGTTTAGGGGTTTAGGGGTTTAGGGGTTTAGGCGTTTGGGCGTTTGGGCGTTTAGGGGTTTTAGGGGTTTTAGGGGTTTAGGGGTTTAGGGGTTCAGGGGTCTAGGGGTTTAGGGGTTTAGGGGTTTAGGGGTTTGGGGGTTTAGGGGTTTAGGGGTTTAGGGGTTTGGGGGTTTGGGGGTTTGGGGGTTCATGGGTCGTCATCACCCAAAATGCCCTGAAGGAATCGGGTTTAGGGTTCAGGGTTTCGTGTGTGGGGGTTTAGGGTTTAGAGTTTACTTTGAGGTTCATGGGTAGTGAAAAGTAGTTGAAAGTAGGGTAAAAACTACCCTGAATAGGGGCACAAGTAGAACTACCATACTGATGGCCCTACTTACACCTACCCATGGACATCCAAGTAGTTGGGCGTACTTCTGTAGCTTTTGTAGCACAAAGAACGCGGCTTTCAGGCCTTGGACGCACTGGGTAGGGTCCAGGGTTCACGGTTTGGGGTTTACGGTTGGGTTTTTGGGTTTTAGAGTTTATAGGGCCATTTCAGGTGTTTTTGGCTTTTCTTGTGTGTCCCGCACTACGTAAGGAAGAGTGTAGGAAAAGTTATGAAGCTCGGATCCTCAACGGTGCCCTTTTCCTGAACTTTTAAGGGCCATTATACCAAAGACAGCCCGCTGCTCTTTTCGGGCTATTGGGGAACCTAGCAATTCGCCGGGTTTAGAGTTTAGGGCTTAGGGTTTGGGGTATTATTATGAAACCCTAAACCCACATAGCCCTAAACCCTAGTAGCCCTGTAAACCCTAAACCCTAAACCCTACACTTCCAGGTCCTGGCCATGCCCGCGGAGGCTCTGGCGGGTCGAGTTCGGGAGTTTGAGACCCTGGGCTTTTCGCACTTTTTAACAATGAACGCCGGAAGGGTTTAGGATTCAGGGTTTAGGGTTTAGGGGTTTAGGGTTTAGGGTTTAGGGTTTAGGGTAGGGTTCGGCCGGTCCGCACTAACAGTCACCACCAGCAGACCCACAAATAAAAGCACCCGGTAAATGCCCCAAAATTGACTGGGATTCCTGCTATTCCTGGTGCTATTCCTGGTGCTATTTCTGGTGCTATTTTTTGTGCTATTCCTGGTGCTATTTCTGGTGCATTTTTTTGTGCTATTCCTGGTGCTATTTCTGGTGCTATTTTTTGTGCTATTGTTTGTGCTATTTCTGGTGCTATTTCTGGTGCTGTTTCTGGTGCTATGTGACTACCAGTCACCATCAGCAGACCCACAAAAAACAGCACCCGGTAAATGCTAAGCTGCTAAAATTGACTGGGATTCCTGGTGCTATTTCTGGTGCTATTTCTGGTGCTATTCCTGGTGCTTTTTCTGGTGCTATTTTTTGTGCTATTGTTTGTGCTATTTCTGGTGCTATTTTCTGTTGCTATGTGACTAGCAGTCACCACCAGCAGACCCACAAAAAGAAGCACCCGGTAAATGCTAAAATTGACTGGGATTCCTGGTGCTATTTTTGGCCTGTGTTAGGTTATAAGGCCACGGCGTTATTTGACTGTTAGTGTGGGCCGGCCGAACCCAAGTTTAGGGTTTAGGGTTTAGGGTTTAGGGTTTAGGGTTTAGGGTTTAGGGTTTAGGGTTTAGGGTTTAGGGTTTAGGGTTTAGGGGGGTTTAGGCTTTAGGTGGTTTAGGGTTTAGGGGGTTCAGGGAGAAGGTCCCACACCTCGTGTACTACAGGCGCAGAAGAAGGGAATGCTCTACAGGCACCTCTCGGCATCACGATTCCTGTCACCGCAATTGTACCCACGCCTTGGCGAAGCCCAGTGTGCTCGACCGATGAACCCGTAATCCTTCAAAAAGAATCTTCCTGAAACCATATAGGGGCAGTTGGCTAAATTAGGGTTCCTTTTATGGGTACCCATCATAAGGCGGTACCCTTTAACATGGGATCCCAACATGGGACCATAGTTTGAGAACTACCCATATAGGTATGATCGTTATTCTAAGGTAAGCCCTAAACCCTAAACCCAAAACTCTAAACCCTTAGGGGATGGCGCTCTGTGGGCTAGGTTTCGCGGCACCCTTCACAGCTCAGCCTTCTGTTCCCTGATCTCCATCCCTAACCCCTAAAACCTAAAACCTAAAACCTAAAACCTAAACCCTAAACCCTAATCCCTGATCCCTGATCCCTAACCCCTAAACCCTAAACCCTACACCCTAAACCCTAAACCCTAAACCCTAAACCCTAAACCCTAAACCCTAAAACCCAAACCCCAAACCCTAAAACCTAAACCCCAAACCCAAGCTCCCGCGACTCTCCACAAAGCCAAGCCAGGAGTCCTTCCCTCCCATCGGCCCGACAGATTCCAACACCCTTAGTAGCTGAGTGAGTACACTTTGCACTTTTTGGGATACCATAACCCAGGGTTTAGGGTTTAGGGTTTAGGGTTTTGGATTTAGGGTTTAGGGTTTAGGGTTTAGGGTCCCTATAAAGCTGAAAGTGTACACTTTGGGTGCTTATGAACTCAGCAAGCACCCGAGCCAGGTGCGGGCAAGGTGGCTCGCCGACGCCATGAAAGCTGTGGCGGCATCTTGGAACCACAGTGTTTCAAGAGATTTTTTTTATATTACTACTATGTTACTATAATACGTTTTGGCAATATTCGTATATTGTTTCACTTCTATATCAGTACGATCTTACATTTGTCGCTGTAATTGTTACATTGTCGTTTTGTGTCCAGGTATGCTAGGTTCACGGGGGCCTTGGAGATTCCCTGGAATCTCAGCAGTTCACAACCCTAAGAGTAGGCAGCTGTCTAGAAGAATACGTGCAACGTCCGACCTCCACCAGGAGTGTTCGTTGCAAAGCAGCTCAGCCATCAGACTCAGGGTTTAGGGTTTAGGGTTTAGGGCTTAGGGCTTAGGGCTTAGGGTTTAGGGTTTAGGGTTTAGGGTTTAGGGTTCAGGGTCTAGACTTGCAACACGACCTTGAGCAAGCCGCGCAGACCCTGGAACTTACTAGGATGCTCAGTAGTGCCCCTTGTTCCCTTCTTTTGGTGATGAAAAAACTCGCCAACAGAGGTGCGCCCTTTTGATTCTCAAGTTCCTTGGGGCCCCTAAACCCTCAAGCCCCGCCCAAAGCAGAGACTCCACTATCCCCAAACCCTAAACCCTAAACCCTAAACCCTAAACCCTAGACCCTAGACCCTAGGGTGACCCTAGACCCTAGACCCTAGACCCTAGACCCTAGACCCTAGACCCTAGACCCTAGACTAAGGCGAGCGAGCTGGATCCTTCCAGCGTTTTCCCCCTTGCTGCGGATCCCGCGCCTTTCACTGAAGAGGGGCCGGCTAGGGATCCTTCCCCGCGTCTGAGACTCAGGGATCTTGGTTTTGGGCCTGGGGCTACCTAGGAGGCAGCAAAGCGGGTATATTGTATTATAGTATATTATATTATATTATATTATACTACGGTTATATTATATTGTATTATATTATATTATACATACACATGTATATATGTACAGAGTGAGTTAGGGTTATATTTCTCAAGTAAGAGTGATGGGGCTTACTTCGAACTTCCTGGTTCTCGAACGGGTAGATTTATGGGTCTGGGTGGTTGTATACAGAAGATCAAGTTCTCGGAGTTCTCCTTCTTAAACCCTAAACCCCAAACCCTGAAACTTTCTGCCTGCTTCCGAACGAGACCCGGACAGTGTCCACAGAATAGAACAATCCCCACTTGGCATTTTTCGGATATGCTAGGAGGGACCCCCGAAAGAAAAACAAAAAGTGAAAACAACTTTAATCTGTATCTATATATATATATATATATATTTGCATAAATACATTATGGCGCCTACATAATTTTTGGGGTCCCTTCCTTTAGCCTCAGCAATAGCGCCCCACAACAGAATCCAACCCTCTAAGCCCTAACAAGCCTAAACCCTCTGAACCCTAAACCCCCTAAACCCTAAGCCCTTAGCGCTAAACCCTAAAGCCTAAACCCTAAACCCTTTAAAAAACCTAAACCCTCTGAACCCTAAACCCTAAACCCGAAGCCTTAATCCCTAAACCCGAAAACCTAAACCCACCCACTTGGCCTCAGGAGTTCGCTGCGGGGGTGAATGAAGCCCTCGGTGCCCGTATGTTCCGCGTGCTGCGCGGCAACTCGCGGCTTTTTTCTGAGGAGTCGTTTTTTTAAATCCAATTTTTTTTGTTTTTTCTGATGTACTTAGGGTTTTAGGGGAGGGTTTAAGGGTTTAAGGGTTTAAGGGTTTAAGGGTTTAAGGGTTAATTAGGGTTTAAGGGTTTAAGGGTTTAAGGGTTTAAGGTTTAAGGGTTTAAGGGTTTAAGGGTTTAAGGGTTTAGGGGTTTAAGGATTTAAGGGTTTAAGGGTTTAAGGGTTGAAGGGTTTAAGGGTTTAAGGGTTTAAAGGTTTAAGGGTTTAGGGTTTAAGGGTATAGGGTTTATGGGATGGGGTTTATAAGCATTAGGGCGTCCAGGGTTTTAGGACCCAGAGTGCTCGATACCTTTCTACATTACAGAGCAGACCCCACAAAAAACGTGGGGTTTGATTTTTAGGGGACCCAGCACCCTAAACCCTAAACCCTAAACCCTAAACCCTAAACCCTAAACCCTAAACCCTAAACCCTAAACCCTAAACCTAAACCCTAAACCCTAAACCCTAAACCCTAAACCCTAAACCCTAAACCCTAACCCTAAACCCTAAACCCAGAGTTCCAGCATGTTAAGCCCGTTCTGTTGCGCGGGCAGCCCTGATCGAGAGAGGAGCAGGCGCGCGTGCTGCAGGAAGAATGTTTCACGGCTTGCAAGCAGAGGCTTTCAGGGTTGAGGGTTGAAAGGCTGAGGGTTTCATTACCGGCGCTTTGCAGTCCATGATGCTGGAAGACATGGTGGGGTTTAGGGTTTAGGGTTTAGGGTTTAGGGCTGAGGGTTTAGGGTTTAGGGTCTCGTCCGGCCCAGCACAGGGTTTCGGGCAGACATGGCGCGTTTCCAGAAGCTGGGTGCGCAGACCAGCAAATACAGCGGCGCAAGCTCTCCCTAAACCCTAAACCCTAAACCCTAAACCCTAAACCCTAAACCCTAAACGCTTGCCGCAAAACCGCAGCCAAGGAAGCTGAACATAATCAAGCCCTGAGCCCTAGAGCCTAAGCCTAAACCCCAAACGCGAGTAAACTCCAAGCTGCTTGCGCCAGCAGGGCTTAGGGTTTAGGGTTTAGGGTTTAGGGTTTAGGGTTCAGGGTTTAGGGTTTGGGGTAGCAGTCCCAAGGTGCAGTTGCCCAGCGTTTCGCAAGCGCAGCGCAAACGACGGGGACGAAGACTGAGGCTCCCTTTGCTGTCCGGCAGCTTCTACTTGGAGTTTCATGGTACTTATGAACCAAGTATAACTGTACTTATAACTGTACTTATAACCACGTTAGGGCACTTAAGGGGCTTATAAGAGGGGCTACAAGTCCAGTTGTGATTCGTTAGTAGGTACCATGAACCTCCAAGTAACCGTAGATTCCAGCCCCGTATTTCATGACCAACATGATCCCCATGTAGCCCCTATGCAATGAAATTCGGGTTGGGTTTTAGGGCTCAGAGTAAAACATAAACTACACGAAGAGTCCTGCTAGTTCCGCCCTCAGCCCGCTCCGAGCTGACACTTTAAACACCCCTCAATGCCTCCCCAAAACCCTCACGATCCATCCTACATCCAGAAAGCTGGCGAACCCCACCGTGTTGGTAGCCAGAGGAAAGCTTTCGCCCCTTTCTTTGGGGTTTCGGATTCCCTTGCGAAACTAAACGCCCCAACGAGGGTACCCGTGTCAGAATACATATGCTTACAAGGCCACTCCACCCTAAACCCTAAATCTCCTACCCTAGATTTGGGCTTTACAGAAGCATGGGGACTTTATGTTTCGAGCTGGTTTGCGAGCGTGCCAGATCTCTAACTCTATCTTAACTACATACAATTTCATATACCATATATTAGGCTTCATAAAGGAAACCCGAAACCCTAAATCCCAAAGCCTCATCCCTAATCCCTAAACCCTGCATTGCAAAAGGTGCCCGAAATGGGACCCCAGTTTCGGGAACCTGTTGGGGGACCGGGTGGGTATAGGGTATAGGGTTTAGGGTTTAGGGTTCAGGGTTTAGGGTTTAGGGTTTAGGGTTTGTTTCCTAAACCCCCAAACTTGGCTCCCTCAACAGGCAGACTTTGGGGCAAACGACGGGGCCCCCTGCTGTGGTTCAGGGGAAAAGGTTGGGTTTCAGGTTTAGAGCACCCTAAGCCCTAAACCCTAAACACTTAAACCTTAACCCCTGAACCCTAAACCCTAAACCCTAAACCCTAAACCCTAAACCCTAAACCCTAAACCCTAAACCCTCCAAGTGCCCTCCGCCAGGGAGGGAGTGACTCCATCCCTGGGACTGCAGAGGCTTCGCAAAGAACCCAGGACCGATCTGGGACCTTAGGGATGCTTAGGGTTTAGGGTTTAGGGTTTAGGGTTTAGGGTTTAGGGTTTAGGGTTTAGGGTTTAGGGTTTAGGGTTTAGGGTTTAGGGTTTAGGGTTTAGGGCTCAGGGTTTAGGGTTTAGGGGGTTTAGGGGGTTTAGGGGGTTTAGGGGGTTTAGGGGGTTTAGGGGGTTTAGGGGGTTTAGGGGGTTTAAGGGGGTTTAAGGGGTTTAGGGGGTTTAGGCTGTTTAGGGGGTTTAGGCTGTTTAGGGCGTTTAGGGGGTTTAGGGGGTTTAGGGGGTTTAGGGGGTTTAGGGGGTCCAGGGGGTTTAGGGGGTTTAGGGTGTAGGGTTCAGGGATGTCAAGCCATGAAGGCCTTGAGTGTTTTTGAGTTTCAGCTTTGAGGGTTTCAGGGGTTTAGGGTTTTAGGGTCTTTGGTCTTAGGGGCGCAGGGTTTTAGGGGTTTAAAGGCTTAGGGTTTTGGGTTTTGGGTTTTAAGGCTCTACTACAAAAGCAACTTTGTACAACCCTAAACGCCTCAAGGCCTTCAGAGCTTCCAAGCCCTAAACCCTAAACCCTAAACCCTAAACCCTAAACCCTAAACCCGCAAATCGAATTCAGAACGGCAAAGGTCCAGGAAGGGGCTTTGAATTTGGGATCCTTTGATTGCATAGGATAGGCATGCCTCTAGGGTTTAGTGTCTAGGGTTTAGGGTTTAGGGTTTAGGGTGCCGGATTAGAAGATACGCGCAGATGCCGATGGTTCAGAAGATGTGGTGGAACGAGTGGTAGCTGTCTTAACTCGTGTGTGCTTTTCTTGCAAGGAAGACCAGATGAACCTTCGACTGAAGGAGTTGGAAGACATGAAGGCCACGCATGAAACCCGATGTCAGTCCCACGTCTCGGAACACAGCGGGCTTTGGGTTTAGGGTTTAGCGTTTAGGGTTTAGGACCCAGCACTCGGTGCTATTTTAGGCTGGGCTGTCGCTTCCACACACAACTAGGAATTCCCTCTTTTCAGGCTTCAGGTACTCTTAAAAGCCCCTTTAAACCAAAAAGGGTGCCCTTTTTGTTCCTAGGTTACTCTTGGGTGTAGAAAAGCCCCTAAGCCTCTCTTAATCTCACGGTGCAGCCCTAGTAGCCGTGAGTTGAGCATGGGAGAGATCATCATCATCTTTGATCATCATCTGTGTGGTCTTACTGTGGCAATCTTTGTCATGATGACTACTCTCACTGCCATCACTAAGTGCTTCTTCTTTTTAACGTCCAAGCCCGAAACCCTAAACTCTATACTAAACCCTGAACCCTAAACCCTAAACCCTAAACTTTATGAAGCGGGCCGGAGTGGGACAGACGACCCAGCCGCAGGCTGCAGCCAAAGCGCGACGCCGTGAACTCCTTGAGGCCGCGCGCCAGGAGATGGGTTTTGGGGACAAAACCCAGAGAGCTCAATACTTCCTCGGAGTATAGCGAAACTTTTATAGATGTGTCTGCGTACTGATATATATATATATATACAGATGCGCGTATGTTTGTAAGTTTATAAGACACTCTACTCCTGCGAGGTTGAAGGTGCCTTCCTTAATTGAGGGGTGTGCTGGGTTTTCTGGGAACAGCTAAGGCTTTTCGGTACGATTGAGAACTTCTGGGTCGTGCCTGCTTGCGGTCTGCGTCGCCCTGAACCCGAAACCCCAAAACCCCAAACCTCAAACCCCAAACCGCAAACCCTAAACCTCAAACCCTTTTTCTTTTTTTGGGGTTCTTCTTCCCTATAAGGGTAATAGGTTCTTAAACAAATAGTTACTAAAAGCTCTCGGAGTTGCTCCGATGCGATGAGCATGAGTAAACTGGCACTGCTCGTGCATAAGGATGGCAAAGAACATGCATGATTTAGGGTTTCGAGTTTAGGGTTTAGGGTTTAGGGTTCAGGGTTTAGAGTTTAGGGTTTAGGGTTTAGGGTTTAGGGCACATTCATGATAGTGAATACTGGCAAGAGTACTCAATCGCCTCCGAAGCCAAAAGCATCCCAGCAAGACCAATCCGCAGGAGCAAGCGCCTGGCACCAGCGATGCGGAAAAAAAGCCCGAGTGTTGCAGCCAAGCTTGCTGTGGTACTTTGTTTTGGTAAACGTTGGTAAAATATTCGGCCGGTTTCGCAAGTATGGCTTTCGTCCAGTGGTGAACTCCCATAAGCAAGAGGAGCAGTTACAACCCTATTTAGGACACGTATATGCCGTCCTACTTATCACTACCCATGAACCCCTAAACCCTTTACCCTAAACCCTAAACCCCAGCAAAGGGCCAACCTCAGCAAAGCGCTTGGTGCGATCCCCACCAGAAAGCCTTGGCGACGGCAGGACTCGGGAGAACAGCAGCGGCGCTGCGCTTTGTTCGCCAACCTGGCAGGGGCCCTTTTACTTTGTCATAGTGAGGTAGCATTTTGCATTTTTTAGGGTTTAGGGTTTAGGGTTTAGGGTTTAGGGTTTAGGGTTTAGGGTTTAGGGTTTAGGGTTAATGCCATCCCAACCATGCACTAGCTTAGGGATGGCCCATGTGTAACGCTGGTGCCCCCTGAACCCTCATTTGCACATAGGGGAATCGGGCACAGGTCCCTCTTTCGAAGTGCGCTACGTGCTTGACCCTTTTGTTTCAAGGCAAGTCCGTTCCCATCCAAGGCTTTGTCCTGCGAAGTTTTTGAAGTCTAGGACTTAGATCTTGTTCTCCGGTCTTTGGGCGGCAAAGCATACTGACCGCCGGCGTGCCATACCATATGTGCACTCATCCAGGTCCCTGCTGCACTCCGGGTCTAGTCGGCAGAGGCGCAGAACATCCATCCTCAGATATGAAAGTACTTTGGGGTATACGTGGAGTATACGGAGATATGATTGGCAATAAGCTCTAAACCCTAAGCCCTAAACCCAACACCCAAACTTAGTGCTGATGCATGACTATCAAGGGGGAGCTCGCCAGTTGCCATATTTCCCCTTCATTCGAAGAATCATATAGGGTTTTGGGGTTAGTGACCTTACACTACATTGGTATCGTGGTTCTTGCTCCGGATAAACACGTATATTCTGAATGCAACCCTAAACCCTAAACCCTAAACCCTAAACCCCAGACCCTCTTGGACTCACTGGGTCATCCAGGTCGGTCCCTTGTTGCCCATTGTGGCCCGAGCACTTCATCCAGACGGCGCCTTGTCCTGTTCAGGGTTCAGGGTTTAGGGTTTAGGGTTCAGGGTTCAGGCTTCGGGGTTTAGGCTTTAGGCTTTAGGCTTTAGGCTTTAGGCTTTAGGCTTTAGGCTTTAGGCTTTAGGCTTGAGGCTTGAGGCTTGAGGCTTGAGGCTTGAGGCTTTAGGCTTTAGGCTTTAGGCTTTAGGCTTTAGGCTTTAGGCTTTAGGCTTTAGGGTTGTTAGTTGTTGTTAGGGTTTAGGGTTTAGGGTTTAGGGTTTACGGTTTAGGGTTTAGGGTTTAGGGTTTAGGGTTTAAGGTTTAGGGTCTAGGGTTTAGGGTTTAGGGTTTAGGGTTTAGGGTTTAGGGCTTGGCTTGGTAGCCCCAGGGAACCCTTTACCCTTTTTTTTTGTTATGGGTTCCCTTATAAAGTAACCAACCCAAAAAGGGTGCCCTTATCATAATATGGCTACCGGGCTACCAAGAGGGTCTAGGGTTTAGTTTGGGCTTGGGGTTCTTGAAGGGTTTTGGGCCTAGGATAAACCCTTAAGCCTAAATCCTCAACCCGAACCCCCCTGAAAGGGACTCCAATACCCCTTAATGAAGGAATATTCCCTAAAATGTAATGGGGTTCCGTAGCACTAAAGCCTAAACCTAAACCCCACTTGTTTAAGGATTAGTCTTGAATTAAGGAGTACTCGAGTCTCTGGGAATTCTTTGTTCCAAGACGGGTTGTACGGAGGCGTAGAGCGCATGATCGGGCTTAGGGTTTTGGATTCGGGTTTAGGGATTAGGGTTTAGGGTTTAGGGTTTGGGGTTTGGGTTTAGGATTAGGGTTTAGAGTTTAGGGAAGTTACGCATGGTCCTTTCAATATAGCCCCTTACCTTTTTTAAAAGTTTCTGAAGTATGGCCTTTGGTTTATAGGGCGTATGGCGGGTATATAAGGATTCCCCAAGTCAGGACCCCATATTCAGGGACCATTTTCCGCCCTCTTCTTTAGGGATTACTTGGAGGGTCATGGTACTTTCTTACCAATTATAACTGTACTTATAAACCACTTATCGGCCCCTTAAGTGCCCTAATATGGTTATAAGTACAGTTATAGTTGGTTAATAAGTACCATGAACCTCCAAGTAGGATCTCTGAGGGCCGAGGTCTTTAGTGCAAGGGCGCCTTATTCGAGGGATCCTAACTTAGACCAACTACCCAGTTGAGCATGAGAGCTGCGCATGTCGAAGGCTGCAGCCCCCATATTAGCTAGTACCGTCGAACTTGGAGGTTCATGGTACTTCTGAAAAAGTGGTGCAAGATTTCCTCCATCCACAGTATTAGGGCACTTGAGGGGCTTGCAAGTGGGTTATAAGTACAGTTCTACTTGGTTGGTGAGGACCATGAACCTCCAAGTAGGCGTTTGTATTCCACATTGGGCTTTCACTTCCTGGACACCTCAACGCTCCCAAAATCCCTAAACCTTAAACCCTAAACCCCCCAACTCTCAAAAGCACGAGATAGGATTCCACAGAAAGCCAGAGTCTGAAGGCATCGACTTCCTGGAGGAGGGTCTGGAGATGCGCTGCCGGCATGTTGCAAAGGAAGATGCGAGCCCCTCTAGTATGATAAGCCAACAAAGCAACAAACAGATAATATTCCCTATGGTCTGGAAGAACGGTTCTCATTTATTATTAGATTTTTGCGAGGGGTTCTTCAGCAAATAGTCGGAAATGCGCCTGCTAGGGTAGTCTAGAATAGATGGCAGCCTGTTATAGTCTACTCAAGTCAAGTACACTAGAAAAATATTTTTCTCTTTCGCAGTCTCTAAAAGTCTATTAAAGCCGAGTAGAATTTTAATAGATTGCAGTCTGCTGTACTCTATGAAAGTAAAGTAAACTACTGTAGAATATATGGCAGTCTGTCATATATATATATATATTGTCTACTAAAGTAAAGTAGACTAGAAAATATGGCAGCCTGTTATAGTCTATTGACGTCAAGTAGAGCACATGAGGTTACCAGGCAAGTACGTATCTAGGAGTAGCCTAAGGAGCCCTTAACAAACTCGCATTCGTGACAGCTATGCATTTGAAGGTGTCTTTGGGGTTCCTGAAGCAAATCCTCGATAGCACGATGGCCCCCTTAGGAAACCCTGTTCATTCTTCTAAAGAGAGAGGTAGAGAGGGAGAGAGAGAGAGAGAGAGAAAGAGAGAGAGAGAGAGAGCAATACATACATACATACATACATACATACATACATACATACATATACATACATACATACACATATACATATACATATACATATACATATACATATACATATACATATATATATATATACATATTCATTTATTTATACATTTATATATAAATATATACATATGTACATATTTATATACTTATATATATATATATATATATTTATATTTATATTTATATTTATATTTATTTATGTATTTGCATTTTATATTTATATTTTTATATTCCCCACCCTCGGTGTGGGGTTGTTAGATTTGAAACTCAACTCTTCTCCTCGCCCGGTCTACTCCTCGCTCATCCCTGGAGTGCCCAACCCCAAAGTGTCCCTGCAGTGCCCAACTCTAAATGCCCAACCCCAGAGTCTGGAGTGCCCAACCCCAGAGTGCCCAACACTGGAGTGCCCAACCCCACAGAGTCTCCCTGGAGTGCCCAGCCCCAGACTCTCCCTGGACCACAGAGTCTCCCTGAGTGCCAAACCCCGAGTCTCCCAGAGTCTCCTCCACCCAACCCCAGAGTGTCCCCGGAGCGCCCAGCCCCAGAGTGTCCCTGGAGTGCCCAACCCCAGAGTATCTCTACCGAGAGAGGGTGGGGATGTTCGAAGTAAACAGTTTTATTTATTTATAACACCCAATGCTGAGAGATATGGTTCTGACGGCAGTACCGTGCACAGATTTCAAGGAAGAAGTTCTGATCTCACGTGCGAAGCAGAGCGCTTTCCGGATGGCTTCCTTGCGTTTCTGGCTTCGTGGTCGTTCGTCAGTTTAGGGTTTAGGGTTAAGGGTTTAGGGCTTATGGTTTAGGGTTTAGGGTTTTTGGTTTAGAGTTTGGGGTTTGGGGTTTAGAGCAGGTCCGGTTTTGCTTGAAAATTCGCCGACTGCCTTTCTGTGTTTCTGGCCTGCCCTTGCGCAACGGGCAGGCTGACGTATCTCACATCCTTCTGCAGCACGCCCATCCCCACAGCGCTGTGGGGTCCGCCGGGGGCCCTTGAGGGTCTGGCTTTGGAAGATTTAAGGGCTTACGGTTTAGGGTTTAGGGTTTTTGACAGGGCCCATGTACTTATATCGTATATGCTTGTGCCTGAAAAAGCGGGGGGCGGGGGGGTGGGGGGGGGGATTCCGAAAAAGTAGGTTTGGGCCCCAAGCCCTAGACCTTAAACACTGGATCCCTTAATGATTTAAGGTTGTGGTCCCAAGTGTCCGCCCACGCATTTTGGCAGAGACTGGCAAGCATCTGTCGTCCCCCCCTAAACCCTAAACCCTGACCCCTGAACCCTAAACCCTAAACCCTAAACCCTACCTTGGCGGCCATGAAACAAAGGTTTCCGCGGCTGTACCAAGCCGTCTGTGGCAAGTCCACGGCCTCGCTGCAGCTGCCAGAGGTCTTAGAGGCGCCAGGGGGGGCTCTCAGAGGGTTAGGGTTTAGGGTTTAGGGTTTAGGGTTTAGGGTTTAGGGTTTAGGGTTTAGGGTTCAGGGTGTAGAGCTTCCAAAGTCCCGCAGACTCAGGAGTAGGATGAACCCTAAAAAACCTAAAACCCTAAATCCCCAAACAACGCGCGACCACAAACAGCACTAGAGCCGAACCATGTGTTGCTCCATGAAAAGCTACTTTTTCAAAAAAATCAAAAGTAAAACATAAGAATCCCCGTATTGCTCCTATAAGGAAGAATCTGTGTTTAATTTGTTGGCGGTTCCTTGGACAAACAGTAACCCTGAACCCTAAACCCTAAACCCTCAACTCTCAACCCTCAACCCTAAACCCTAAACCCTAAACCCTGAACCCTAAACCCTAAACCCTATAAAGAAGGGTGGCTGGGCGCCTGACTTCATGACCAACATCCTCGAGCCGATGTTGCCTGGCACCCGGGATGTGGTCAGAAGCTGTCAACCTGCAAAGGCTCTACTTGGAGGGTTTAGGGTTTAGGGTTTAGGGTTTAGGGTTTAGGGTTTAGGGTTTAGGGTTTAGGGTTTCAGGTTCGTGGGTAGGTAGAAATAGGGTATAAGTACCCCAAATGCGCTTAAATGTATAGCTACCATGCATATAAATCTGCCTCTAACTACCCACCATGAACCTCCAAGTACTTAGCTTTTGTCACATCCCTTAGATCAGACTTAACCGCAAAACCCTAAACTCTAAACCCAGACCCCAGACCGCAAACCCCAAACCACAAACCCTAAACCCTAAACCCTAAACCCTAAACCCTAACTCCAGCTTATGGCTGAATGCCCAGGAACTACGTCGCTCGAGGCCCCGTGGAGGTGATCTTCTCGGGCACTTGGTCCGAGGCACTTTGCGGGCTCAGAACAACAATGTGATGGGTTTAGGGTTTAGGGTTTAGGGTTTAGGGTTTAGGGTTTAGGGTTTAGGGTTTAGGGTTTAGGGTTTAGGGTTTAGGGTTTATGTGACCATTTATATGTATCTCACATATATGTGTGGTTCAAGGCTTCTAGGGTATCATACATATACACAGCATGAAATATGTTGGTAGTATGTGTTTTTTGCTTGCGAACATTTATATCTCTAGATATATGCAGACAAAAGAATAAGTAATTAAGCCCTAAACCCTAAACCCTAAAACTTTATATATATATATATACAAATTTATGTACGTGTCTTTTGCCAATGGCTTCGGGCGTAGCCTGCGCATCCTGGGGCGCTTGAGATCGGGTTGCGACAGGTGCTGTCCCTTTTTTCGTCTTACACGCAGTACATTGTTACAAGGGCTTAGGGTTCAGGGTTTAGGGTTTAGGGTTTCGGGTTTAGGGTTTCGGGTTTAGGGTTTCGGGTCTATCGGTCCATGGGTCCATGGCCCCTTTTGTATGGTCCCTTCACCTTTTCGCACTGAAGTCTGGGCCCTTGGGTCTTTGTAGATATATGCATATATATATATATGATATATATATATATGCATAAAGAATAGATTTCCATAGTATAGAATAATCCATGTAGGGGTCAATACGGGGTATAGAACTAGGACCCGGAGTAGGCCCTGACTTCCTTTTTTTAGGCTTCGGGTTCCCTCATCATCCCCTCAAAGCCAAAAAGTGTACCTTTTTTACTCCCGGGTCTAGAGAAGGTTCCCCAAGTGAGGGCCGAAACTAAGGGGCCCCGCCAAGATGTATGTCAAGGCAGCAGATCTGCAAACACCCAGGATGTAGAAGTCCTAAACCCTAACCCTGAACCCCATACTCGAAGTCCGAAACCCCAAACCCTAAACCCTCTACCGAAACCGCAAACCCTAAACCCTAAACTCACCCGAAGAACGCAGCTGCCCGAGGGTAACATGACCTACGCCGACATGGTTTTCAACATGGTCAAGAAGGCCTCTGCACGTAATCTCTGTCTTTCGGGCTTTGCAAACCCTGAGGAGCTGGGTAGGTGACCTTTATCCTTTTTGGTGATTTAGGGTTTAGGGTTTAGGGTTTAGGGTTCAGGGTTCAGGGTTTAGGGTTTAGGGTTTAGGCTTATATAGAACCCTACTATGTATAAGAGGGTAACCTTTTTTGAGCTAGGGGATCCAGCCCTAGGAACCTGGGTTACCGCATGACGCGAGATGACTTTGGGTTGGGAAACCCAAGTAGCCGGCAATTCCACAGCGGCAACCAGAAGCTGCCATTGCAGTGACTCAAGTCTTGTGCAGGAGTTGACTCCCCAACCCTAAGATCTACACCCCAAACCCCAAACCCTAAACCCTAAACCCTAAAGCCAACTTATTCCCCCAAGCACTTGCAGCGCCACCGAAACACGCGGCTACTTCTACTATTTGCTTAAGAACCCCAAAAGCATATGAAAAAAAACACATTCCCTACAATATCCTTATAAGGAAGAAAAAAGTTTGTGTGTTTTTGAGGGGTTCTTAAGCAACTACATAAAACAAAAACAATCCCTACATTACCCTTATAAGGAAGATTTGTTTCTTTTTGTTTTTTGTTTGGGGGAGGTTTCTTAGGCAACCCTAAACCCTAAACCTCAGCAACCACTAGATTTGCGCAGGTCTTGCATATGCCGGGCGTCGGCTCCGAGAAGGCCAGGTGGGAGGGGGTTTTGGGTTTAGGGTTTAGGGTTTGGGGTTTAGGGTTTAGGGTTTAGGGTTTAGGGCATGTTTCTCTTTTTCTCTTCAAGGGCTTGTTGCGAGATGGGTGACGTGGCAAGTCTCGTGGCTATCCACAGAAGAACGAAAGATCTATCCCTCTTCCGGAATTCCAAAGCACGGCAAGTAAGCACCCATCCAAGCCTCGGCAGAAGCCTTCCAAACTAGCCAAGAGCATTAGGGTTACTACCCAAGACCATTAGGGTTTAGGGTTTAGGGTTTAGGGTTTAGGGTTTAGGGTTTAGGGCATTCCCTTGAGGATGCCGCGGCTGCCACAGAGTTGGCCACAGCCCTCTTTGCGCACGCAGCGCCTCCAGGCGCAGTCTGCGGCTTTTGTGCTCCTTCATGTTCACCCAGACTGCTGAATGTACCCTAAACCCTAAACCCTAAACCCTAAACCCTAAACCCTAAACCCTAAACCCTAAACCCTAAACCCTAAACCCTAAACCCTAAACCCTAAGCCCTAAGCCCTAAGCCCTAAACCCTAAACCCTAAACCCTAAACCCTAACCCTAAACCCTAAACCTCAGCAGACGTCATGTAGGCACATGAGGTACCAGGTTCGTGGCCGGGTGCTTTTAGGCCGAGACGTGCGGAGTTTGACTTGACAATGTGCTTTGGCATTAACTAAGACCCAGAGTAGTTTAGGGTTTAGGGTTTAGGTTTTTGGTCTCCCTTAGAACTTAAAACCCCCTGTAAACCGAAAAGGGTACCCGTTTATTCCTAGGTACTCTTGGGTCTAGAGCATGTGCCCTCCAGTCGGCAGCTCTGCCTTTAAACCTTAAATCTCTCTTCACGGTCGTGACACTTCGGTATACATGCGGCCGCAATACAGTCTAACGGATTTAAGTTAGGGTTTAGGGTTTAGGGTTTAGGGTTTAGGGTTTAGGGTCTAGGGTCTAGGGTCTAGAGTCTAGAGTCTAGGGTCAAGAGTATCTTGGACAGACACCTCAGAATTAAAGATGCCTTGCAGTTGCGGACGCCTGGCTCCCGGCTTATTTCGCCGAGTTCTGGCCTGGAGCCCAGCCATGTGCTACATCGCCGGTGGATACCCTAAACCCTACTTGGAGGTTCACGGTACTTACTAACCAAGTATAACTGTACTTATAACCCTATTTATAATACCCCTAAAGGGCCTTATAGGGGTCATCCCAATTGCAAGTAGGGTAATAAGCCCAGTTCTAAGTGGTTCTTAAGTCCCATGAACCTCCAAGTAAACCGTAAACCCTAAACCCCCAATTTTCGTAAGAAGTCGATGCTGGAAAGTGGAGTAGATTGCAGGCTTTTTGCCCCGGGGCCCATTCTCAAAGACATGCATGGGAGACAGGAGAGCGGCGCCAGGTAATAAACCATTTCGGTTTATGGTGTTACTGGTTTAGGGTTCCTGGTATTTAGGGCTTGTACCCCTAAACCCTAAACCCTAAACCCTAAACCCTAAACCCTAAACCCTAAACCCTAAACCCTAAACCCTAAACCCTAAACCCTAAACCCCCTAAACCTTAAGGATCCTTAGGGATCCTTAGTGAGGAAGCGCGTGTCCGAAGTGGAGACCCGCGACCTCCGGCAAGCGCTGCTCGTCGCTTTTGCGACGCAGATGTGGCGACCCGGGGGCTGAGGGTTTAGGGTTTAGGGTTTAGGGTTTAGGGTTTGGGGTTTGGGGTTTAGGGTCTAGGATTCAGGGTTTGAGGTTTCGGGGGTTTACTCGGGCTGAGGGTTTAAAATTTTGACCTTTTAGTGTTTAGGGTCTAGTGTTTAGGGCTGACGGCTTAATAGTTTGAACTTTTAGGGGTTTAGGGTTTAGGGCTGAGGCTTTAAAATTTTGAACTTCTAGGGTTTAGGGTTTAGGGCTGAGGGTTTAACATTTTGGGTTTGTAGGGTCGGTTTAGGGCTGAGGGTTGGGCAATTGAACGTTTAGGGTTTCAGGCTTAGGGGTTTAGGATTTAGGGCTTGGTTGTTCATGGGCAGTTATAGTTTAAACTACACTTATAGTATTATAGTCCTATTTAAGGTACTTCTGAGCCTACGTAGAACTACACATGAACCTATAAGGGATTCAGAAACAAGCCAACACGAAACAGACCCCAGTAAATCACACCAAAGTTTTAGGGTCTGGGGTTTAGGGATTAGTCCATAGATAGTTGTTATGGGCATCATAGGACTTCCCGAGCTGGGCTTAGGGCACATATCCTAACTCCCTGCTCTGGCCATAAACCCTAAACCCTAACCCCTAAACCCCAAACCCCAAACCCTAAACCCTAAATCCCCACTTGGGCCAGGTACAACACCGAACTCTTCCTGCGCTGCACAGAGCAGTCGGGAGTCACTGCCCAGCTTTTCGAGGCATCTAAAGGGTTTAGGGTTTAGGGTTTAGGGTTTAGAGTTTTCGGCGTTGGGTTTGGGGTTTTGAAAAGGTTACTTAAGAATCTTCTATAAAGGTTGGGCCTTCAGCCAACAGTGGGCCGAGACGTTTTCGCAGTCGCTGGTTAGTGGTTAAGCTGCTTACGGTTTTTTCTAAGGTTGCAACGGTGTTGAACAAGCAAAGGCATGCAGCATGAATGCTTATCAGTAACCCCCCAAAATGCAGTCGACTCGGCGACAACTTCGAAATGCGTCTTGACATTGAGCTCACACGTCATCCACGTGAGACGCTCTGTGAGCCACAGCGCCTGCCTGGCGTCAAGGTCTGGATGAACAAGATTGGCTCCCTCAAGCGCCTCAGGCACCGCAAGGCACTGTCCTCAGCTGCTACATTTAGCTGCTGTGTTTAGGGGGATTCTGGGTTATTGCAGGAGCCATACACCCTAAACCCTAAACCCTAAACGCTAAACGCTAAACGCTAAACGCTAAACGCTAAACCCAAGCGCTCATTAGGAATCATTAGGCATGTCGACATGACTAAGGGACACTTGAATTGCTCGGGGTGCTTCCGACCTTCCCCTGATTCGTCAAGTGAGCCTTAGCAGGAGAACGAAGACTTTCATGATGTGGTAGGCCCTTAAGGACCTTTTGTACATACCCTTCTTGGGCTCGCACCTTTTTTTGCAAAGATTCTTCAGAGGTTTTGAAGGGTCAATGAAGTCTTAGTTGAGAATCCCTAAAGCCTAAAGCCTAACCCTAAATCCTGAACCCTATAAGCCGGATTCTTGCAGGTTGCCCTGCTGGGCTTGGTGCAGCTCCTGCGTATGGGCTGCGCGCAGGCTGGAGTTTTCTGTGTGGTCTTCTTGGAGTTGACGGTTACGTAGGGACCCTAAACCCGAAACCCTACGGTTCTCAAGGCTATTGTTGCAGTGTCGGTGTGTGTGTGTATATATGTATGTGTGTATATGTGTGTGTATATACATATATGTGTATGTGTGTATGTGTGTATGTGTGTGTGTATGTGTGTGTGTATGTGTGTGCATATGTATATATTTATACACATCTGTCTCTGTGTGTGTGTGTGTTGCCGGGTGTTGTGCCTCAGTTTTTGCAGGCGCTGCCGGCCAACCTCGCCCAGGGACCGCCGTGGGTCCTAAACCGGTCGTTGAGAGGCAGTGAGCTTTGTTGAGTATTGTGGCGTAAGTCACACGGCCTGTTTCGCCTGAGTGGCCCAGTTCCACATAGGAGGATCAAGAGATTGTCAAAAAGGGGTGGTTCAGTGCCGTTCAAGCCTACTCCGAGGTTCACTGGTGGTTTCCTTCAAGTAGGGTGATGTTCAGTAAGGTAACTCTACTTGTATAACTGTATAACCTTTTTTAGGTACCCTACCGTAAAACTACACTTCTGACCCTACTGTAACACTATCCCTCCTTTAAAACTACACAAACCCTATAGTTTAAGACTGCACCGGAAACCCTAAACCCTAGACCCTACGTTTATTCCAACCTTAAGAAACTACACATGGACCTCCAACCTAAACCCTAAAACCCTTTAAACCCTAAACCCAAACCTCCAAGTTTGTTTCAGGACTGCCCCACCTTGTCTGCACGCTGGCAGTCCAGAGCAAGGAGACCCTCCGACTCAGACACAAGGCCTGTTCACCAAGCCTATCCCGTGGTTTATGGGGTTTAGGGTTAGGGTTTAGGGTTTAGGGTTCAGGGTTCAGAGTTCAGGGTTTAGGGTTTAGGGTTCAGGGTTCAGGGTTTAATAGGGTTTTGGGTTTTGGGTTTGGGGTTCGGGGTGTCTTTAGGGGTTTGAGGTTCTTCTCCCCATACAAGCACCTTAACAAGCCAGAACCTACATTTGGTCAGGTTACCTAAGGGTCCTATAGGGGGCTTCATCACCATGGCCTACACAAAGTAGGTTTGGCGTTCTTCAGGCAAGCGACCCGAAATGAGCAACAGGCGTTGTGACATTCCACCATTTTTGAGAGTATTTAAGCACAATAAGAAATAGAAACTTCAATTTTTAAGACTATCCCAACCATGAACTAGATGTTGAATGTGTTTCTCTGCTGGCGAAGCGATGCCAAATACTCGAATCGATACACGTAGCCTGTGTTGGGTCCCTTGAATACTGCCGCCTGCTCAAATCCGAGACCCTCAACCCCTAACCCCTAACCCCTAACCCCTAAACCCTAAACCCTGAACCCTAAACCCTGAACCCTAAACCCTAAACCCTAAACCCTAAAGGTATTGAAGTCTTTGGGTTCCCCTGACGACCAGGCAGCGAGCCGACCGGACGAGGAAGAGGACACGGACAGCGAGGACGTTTTAGGGTTTTGGGGTTTTAGATTTTAGGGTTTTAGGGTTTTAGGGTTTGAGGGAAGAGGATTTAGGGTTTTAGGGTTTTAGGGTTTTAGATTTTAGGGTTTGGGGTTTAGGTTTTAGGGTTTAGGGTGTCAGTCAAATGGTTTTGGAGGCGAAAAGCCATTCGTCGAATGGTGTTGGGGGCCGAAAAGTTCTTAAGCAAACAGTAGTAAACCATTCAAAGATGGCTTTTTTTCTGCTTCAACTCTGCCAGCGTAGGCTTATGGTTTGGGATTTAGGGTTTAGCGTTTAGGGTTAGGGTTGAGGAACGCACGTCCTGTGCGACATGGAGCGATGCAAGCCTCAAACATGACATGGAGCGATGCAAGCCCCAGAAGTGAACAGGAACTAGGCGAGAGTGCGGTTTGTCATGTCGGGCGACACCAAAACTACACATCTCAGGGTTTAGGGTTTAGGGTTTAGGGTTACTGCGACCACGACATCCTTTGCCCGTCACACGGTGCCCTTGCCGGGAGCGCGATCCGGACACTAAACGATTGTGGCGCCAAGACACGGGAGTCACGAAACCCAGAGACTCCAATGCCCCTTAGAGTAAGGAATATTCCTTAAACCATATAAGGAACCCTCGTATATTTTAAGGAATATTCCTGAACCTAAACCCAAAACCCTAAACCGCAAACCCCAAACCATAAACCGTTGCAGGAATATTCCCTGATTGAGGGGTTTTGGGGTCTCTCGGCAGCGAGCGGCTTTGCGGCAAACTCGCCATCCGCGCTCGTAACGTTGGAACCCCACAGCCATTCGACGAACTTTTCTAACCGGCCTGCAGAAACCTTAGTCCTTAAACCCCTGCACCCCTACACCCCTAAACCCTAAACCCTAAACCCTAAACCCGAAACCCTAAACCCGAAACCGCCCTAAATCCCATTCAGTCATTTGACGCATATGGTGTGCCAGCTTCCAAAAAACCCCGAAGAAGCCTAAAAAAAGGCTCAGCCTTGGCAGCTCAAAGCCCCCTTCGGTTGCACGGTTTAGGGTACCCTAAACCCTAAACCCTAAACCCTAAACCCTAAACCCTAAACCCTAAACCCTAAACCCTAAACCCTAAACCCTGGAACCTGAACCTTGAACCCTGAACATGCCATGGAACATGCTCCGAGTCAGGATGGCACAGCGGATCAAGGCCAAGTGGATCAGGCGTGTGCCCCGTTGCTTCTTTTACTTGCACTTGGGTTTAGGGTTAGGGTTCAGGGTTCAGGGTTCAGGGATTTAGGGGTTAGGCTTTAGGGTGTCTTTGCAGCCAGTTGTTGAGCAGGTGCTGCGCAAGTTGCAAATGGCGTCTGAGAATGATGACGACAATGAGGATAATGACTCCGAGGACGCCGGTGCATTGTATTCTGCTCTTTGTTTGAAGCTTGCCGTGCTGGAGGCCCAATAGATAAGGCGCCGAAGTACACCGGAATAGGAGCACAAGAGGACCCAAATTTCGGGAAGCTCCCGCATGATGCCTTGCCATGATATGCCCGGCTCATTCAAGGGCCTCTAGGCATGAACATGCCAGCAGCGAAGCTCCGTGAAGCCCACGCAATTCGGAGCCTGATAGCAAGTTGTAGGATTTACTGATAAGAGGCTAGGGCTTAGGGTTTGGGGCTGAGGGTTGAGGGGTTTACTGTTTCGGGCTTCGGCACAAGACCCTAAACCCTAAACCCTAAATCCTCTTCCCTCTACCCTATAAACCCGAAACCCTACACTCTCCCGCCTGAAGGCCCTCAGCGACGAGGGTTTCGATGGCATGGTGCACGCAGCGGGCGGCAAGCTCGTGGATCTGAACGCAAGCGCCTCAGGGCCTTAGGTCGTGGGGTTCTTCGGACGTTATGCTTAGGGTTTAGGGTTTAGGGTTCAAGATTTAGGGTTTAAGGTTTAGGGTTTGGGCTAGGGTTTAGGATTCCGGGTTTAGGGTGAACATGTCGGACTCAAGTTTGCACAGATCCATCTTTCTCGCCGCGGAAGTGTGAGCCAGCAAGATTCCGGCGATTCACCTGTTGGATGCTGGGGAGCAAGCGCCTACAGGGGTCCTACTGCAACTCCACGTACTAAAAACCCCCCACACCCCCCCCACCCACCCCCCAACCCCCCCACACACACCCCGCCACACACACCCGCCCACACACCGCCCCACACACACACCCCACACACCCCCCCACACACCCGCCCCACACACCCGCCCCACACCCTTCCCCCCCCACACCCCCCCCCGGCCCCCCTGGCCCCCCCCCGCCCCCCCAACCCCCACCCATGCTGGAATGCAGGTAGGGTGGATAGTCGATACGACAGCCGCCCATAATATGTGGCGAGTGTGGGGTGTCCCTTTTATACGGACAATTTAACTAACCATATAACATGTATTCTTGGATTGCCCCTGAATCAGTCCCAGGCCCAGCGGCTGAGCCGTCTGGACAGGATCGACGAGCTTGCAGCTCTGCGCGAGGTGCTGCAGCAGGCCGCAGAAACGAATCGGGAAGTTCACACGAAGTCCTGGGTCCGTTGCTTGGTAACCTGGGGCGCCTCTGTGCTTACCATGGGTTTTGGCTTTGGGGTTTTTATGGAGCATTGTCGGTGAGCATCTCACATCTTCAGGATGGACTCTAATAGACCTTTTGAAGTGCGATGCCCACGGTGCCCACTGTGTCCCGGCACCCTATATTCGACAGGCATCACCGGACATGCAACGGCAGTTTGAGGCATGGGTGGGCCAGACACTGAGGTCAGGAACAGTGGTTGCCTACCGTGTCTCTTGGGTTTGAGGCTTGAGCGTTCACAGACGTTTTTTGTTGAACTTCGGCAGTGCTTCGTGTTGGCGCGCGGAAGGAAAAGAGAGAGCAACCATGAACACCTTGCAGCAACATCATACCAGAAAGTCGTCCACATATTTTTTCTAAATTTAAATGGCACTAAACAAATGGGAGATTCTCTGCTTAAGTAGGGACCTTTCGGGTACCCTATATAAGGATCGGCATCATACTGGGAACCTAGCAATGAGACCCTTGTTTAGGGAATCTGCCAAATCCTCAGCACTCACTTTCGTCCCACGTCTTGTGTCGGCTTTGGCGGTAGCAAAGGCTTGGGCGCTATGATTAGGGTTCAAGGTTGTGGCTTGGGGTTGAGGGTTTCAGGGCTCGGGGTCCGTACGCTGGGGCAATGACAGAGTATCAACGTATGTATTGCGTTCTTTTGCGGTGATTGAATTAACACTTCTGAAGTAGCTTGCTACAACGAGTGTCTAGATGCCCGCATTGCAGTGACATCCCACGTGACGTATCATGACGACTGCCCATGATCCGAAACTTTCCCAAAGCCATACCTGGCATGGATCCATACGCATCAGCTTTTGTGGCTTTGGGAGTTGCTGAGGAGGCAGCCTCCACGAATGGATTGCCACCCTGACCACTGAAACCGCCCGGAGCAAGTGACAGCCAAGAAAAGGCGCCATGTTGCCACGCTGATGGGTTGAAGCTGAGTAACATCTCTTCTGTCCAGTCAGCTTCCTTCTCATGCATGGAAGCCATATCTTTCATGCGAGATCCCGCCCGCATTTGCAGGCTTAAGCCTACCTGGCATTGATTCTACAACGCAAGCCTCAAGCCCCCACTCGCCACGCACCCTCTTAGATTCCGTGCCTTCAACCACTTCGCGATTAAGATAGACTCACACCGAAAACCCTACGCCCTAAACCCTTGACCGAGATTTTGTTTAGAGTAGTAGGGGAGCAACAGAAGACCACCGACAGACGCCTCCACCACAACGGTTTAAACCCTAGGGTTTAGGTTTAAGGTTTAAAGGTTTAAAGGCTTAAAGGTTTAAAAGGTTTAAAGGCTTAAAGGCTATTAAAGGTTTAAAGGCATTTAAAGGTTGAGGGTTTAGGGGAAACCCGAGACCTTAAACCGGACACCCCATGGTTGGCGCTCGGGTGATGGGTTCTTCATAGTGAGGTTTAGGGTTTAGGGTTTAGGGGGGTCCGCTTTTTTTTTTGCAAAGGTGTGGCTCGGCCCTGTCCCCTTGCAAAGGTGTGGCTTGGCTTGGCTTGGCTGGGCTTGGCTTGGCTTTGGTTGGCTTGGCTCGGCTTGGCTTGGCTCGGCTGGGCTTGGCTTGGCTTGGCTCGGCTTGTCCTCTGGCTTGGCTTGGCTCGGCTTGGCTTGGCTTTGGTTGGCTTGGCTCCTTGCAGGGTTATAGGTATGGTAACTGTACTGACAACGCTGCTTAGGGTGCTGATAAACCTACTTGTAGCTACCCATGAACTTGCAAGTAGGATGGAGGTTTCTAAGGTGCACGCCAAGGTTGAGGGTTTAGGGTTGAGGGTTTAGGGTCTAAGGTTTAGGGTTTAGGGTTAGGGTCTAGGGTTTAGGGTTTAGGGTTTAGGGTTTAGGGTTTAGGGTTTAGGGTTTAGGGTTTAGGGTTTAGGGTCTAGGGTCTAGGGTCTAGGGTCTAGGGTTTAGGGTTTAGGGTTTAGGGTTTAGGGTTGAGGGTTCAACGTCGAATCGTGATCGACGTGCAGCTGCTTTGCTTGGAATCTTGGAGCGGTTGCTGTGCACAGGCGCGAGCGGTTGCTGTTGGTAGGAGGCTTTGGCCCACAGGCATCATCTTCTAGTACTACTTGCTTAAGAGCCCCAAAAGAATTGCAAAAACAAACAATAGTCCCTACATTACCCTTATAAGGAAGAATGTTTTTTTTGGGGGGGGTTCTTAAGCAACTACTAGTTACCAGGTTAGGCAAGGAGGTGCGGACGAAGCAAAGGAAGAACCAAGAAGTACCCCCCCCCCCCCCCCCCCAATTTTTGCAGTCGTTGACTGGCATCCAGCATCTACACGTGTTGGGGAGTTTGCTGCGTCTTCTGTGCGGTTCTAGGTGTCCAGCTGTGTTCAGACTCAGCGGGTGATCACGACAGATGAGGCCAGTCCTAAACCCTAAACCCTAGACCCTAGACCCTAAACCCTAAACCCTATACGCCACGGTGGTCCAAGCCATTGCCAGGTTTCATGTAGCTGGATTTGCCACGCTCAGTGTCTGACACAGCTGGCGGGTGCCAACCATCTTAATGGCTTGGTTGATATTCTGCCTTATCGGGTCTAAGAGGTTGATTATTCTCCCTTATCGGGTTTATGAGGTTTATTATTCTCCCTTATCGGGTTCATGAGGTTTATTATTCTCCCTT